CTACAGACTTGAACTAACTTAATCAGTATCCAAACAAGTGTCTGTGGGGCTGAGACGTCATGAAGAACATGTTTTCCAAGAAACTTTGCCATATCTGCTCTGACGACAGATCAACGTGGAAAGAACCTGTGTCGTGAAAGCTTTAACACGCATCTTCTAAATGACAAAAGCCCGACTCTTGGATGGACAAACCTTTCCCTAAGCCTGTTCAATCTGTGTCGCTGTTGGTTTCCCCACATGATCAACACTAGAGTGAGTTGAGAAGACCACATCACCAAGGCCACCAAGGGACTCCCAGATTGCACTCAAAATCAACTAAGATGAATGGAGGTAACTTCCAGAGTGAGCGCGTCAGAATCGCGTCAGATCAGCTTCCCTTTCTACTTCGACACCAAAAAAAAATGCCCCAAACCTCCGAGCCCAGGGCGATCTAGCCACCACCAAGGCGCCGCACCTTTCACGCCCATGACTTCCCTCAGCTGAATTTGAAGGCACAAAAAATTATGGCCACAGGATGCCACAAGTCTTCATGTTGGAGAGAACCACGAACCAGATGGCTCTGAAGAACATCCAGAGAAAAACACATCAACCATGGAGTCTCTATATAAATATATATAGGTATATGTATGAATTTATCATCATTTATCCTTGATCAAGCGTGGTGGCTTTGAGCTGCGCTTGATGGGTAAAACCTGGATGGTGGGTTTCCCGAATGAAGCGTTCAACGAGTCAAGACGATCAACCTGCAAAGACGATCAACCGCTGTTCGGCAACACTGCTGCTGTGCCTTCCTTTAGAACGGCTGTGGGTCCGCAAGGCTAACAGTTCATGCAAGATCCTCAATTCACTCCACATGAGGAAGTCCCAAGTCACTCCACATTCATACTAAGTAGAAGCTACCAGGTGGAGGCCATCGCTATTGGTTGTAGTCGTAGTGGGAAAGAAACTGAAGGAGTGAAGCAACAAACTAGAGGCTTCCACAGGCTACAAAGCTGCTAACCCTGCTACAACCACAAAGAAGGTGAAAAATGACACATCTTCCAATCTGCAGTATTTTTTGTTTGAACATGTTTGAACTCCCAGATTCTCAACGGTCAACGAAGTGGGAATATCGGGATATCTTCCAGCGACCTTCGCAGCCTCGTGCCTTCATTCTTGCCTCTTATCCACGAAAAGCCCACAAAACCTCCACCCGCTTGATGCCCACCGTGCGGAGGGTTTGGTGGCCCCAGGAAGCACGATTCCAAGGGGCTCCGCTTGGTCGTTGGTTTTGTTGGGATACGTCGTGGGAGCAGCTCGCTCACCAAAGGCGGCCGAGTTCGCCAGCATCTTCCCTGCGCGTCGACCGGTGCGTTCGGCCGCAGCTTCGACCGGTTCCGGGTGACGGTCTCGTGGTCTCGTGGACTGGAAGACGAGTCGAGAATGGGTCGGACAGCGAGCTCCTGGGGCAAAGGGGCAAAGGGGCGGTGTCTTGCTTTTCCTTTTTCCTCGAAACCTGGGGTTACAGTGTTGGTCATTCGTCGGGAGCACTCGTCTTAGCTCAAATAGACCAGACTCAAGGACATCTCCATCCTGTTGTACATGTTCGGTGTAGTTGCCTCTTATGTGTCTCTTGCTCGCAACCCCGGGCTTCCCGGTTGTGCTACCAGTGCCTCAGTGGTTCCAACATCTTGGGCCAACACATTTTTTTGGTTAGTGGAAAAACGCAAACAATGCAAGGCTGTATTTTGAGGTCACCAATATCCGAAGCTTTTTCGGCCAGCACGTTCCTACGATTCCTACCTTGACGTACGAAAACTCTGAGAGAGCAAATGTTGCATGGCTGTTTTGTCTGCTGTTCATCCTAAATGCGGACTCGCCTAGCGTGGGAAACTTCTGGTTCTTGGACTGGAGGAGAGATACATCATCCACAGTCTCACAAGCCTGCCAAGCTGCAATCTTTCATAGAACCCAACTACGCCATGCATCCTACTCTCTTTAATGAAACATTATATAGCGTGACTCTGCACTTCCAAAAACTTGACAATCCTACGCGTCTAGATCTGCAAATCTAGAAGAATTGTGTAGAAGGACCATAGACGGCAAAAAGCTATATAAAAAAAACAGGTGGAACCTCATACTTTCAGACACACCCATATCTACTTCGGGTGTTCCCATTTCTACCAACTATCTGATGTACAATGGTGTATATGGGCCTGTATTCAAACAGGGAGATCTCACAGTTTTACCCCGTGCCAGAAGAAAACTAGACCAACCCAGTGGGATTTCGGGTCAGAAGGGTCTCCCTACTTTAAACACATACCTGACATAGCCGTGTGAAGAAACCGTCCGAACTCTCCGAGTCTTCAAAGCCTCTTTGGCCCCAACGAGCGCTATTAGCACTGCGGCCCTGGGGTTCGGGAGGACAAGAAGTCAGCTGCATTGGCAGACCAGAAAAGGTGCAGGAGGTAGATTAATTACACTACATCTATAGATCTATATACTTATATTACATCTTTTTATCTGATCATTTACTACTAGGAGCAAGGACGCTACTAGGGGCTCCTGGCCTTACTACTAGTAGCAAGAAGCTACTAGGAACAAAAGGCATCGCTACTAGGAGCAAGGACGCTACTAGGGGCTCCTGGCATCGTTGCACATGTTCTGGCGACCGAGGATGCCAGGTTTTCCACTTGCCTCAAAAACTTCTCTCCCTCAGGGCAATGATCCTACAAGGTCCCTGGGCGGAGGAATTTCGTATGGTGAATCCTCTTGCCTGCAGCAAAAGCATGATGATTGCTGGTGACAGCTGCTGACAGTCATGAGAAATGGATTTGACCAGAGTGAAGAAAAGCACACATTTAGCTGGCTTCGCTGATGCTGCTTTTGTGTTCTCCGCCTCTTCAGTCAGGTCCCTGAATCTGCCTCATACCTACCCTGACTCTGTGTGGCTTGGGTTAAAGCTGATAGTTCTTGCCCCAGGCGCAGTAATTGCCAAGCCACGTTCAGCACCGAGGAAGCGAGGATGGATGGGGCGTGAATCGATTTGGATCCCGCCAGAGTTGCCCAATGGTAGAGGGAAGGAACCAGCTGCCAGACTCGTCATGTTCTCGACCCCAGCCCACCCAGTGACCGAACTGAGGCCCACGCAAACGAAGGTCGTTCTTCATTGTCAGCGATAAAACCTACACAAGCGCCAGTTCTTCAGGTGGACCATGCGCCCAACAACTGCCATGCGCCCATTTGCGCAGCAAACTCTAACCATGGAGGCACTTAGATAAGTTGGAACACCTGTGCAAGGTAAGAAACTTCCACTTGGCCAACGCCAATCAGTGCTCTGCCATTAATGAATTGTTGATCCTCCAAGCCTGTTGGAGTCAGGATGCTGATGTTGGTCAACTATTGGGCCAACCCCAAACCATAGAGTCTAGAGTCTCTTCTTATGCTGCAACGCCCTGGCAAAGACCCTTCTGAAAAACAGTCCACCGCACTCGTGAGTGGGCTTGTGAGGATCACATGTCTAGAAGATCATTGGGGATCTAAACCTAGAAATGTGATCCATCTAGAAGCACATTCTGCCTTCCTTTAAGGATTCGTGTTGGATCCTTGTAAGGAATCCTCAAAGGAAGGCAGCACGTGCTTCTAGATGGGGGGCGCGGCGCGGCAAGCCGCGCCCGGCTCCACCTGGCCGGCGACTTTGCGTCTCCTGGGCGGTGCAAAGCATGATGAATTGGAATGCGGGTGGAGAGAAGGATTCACCGATGACTGATCACTGATCTGGAGTTGCTTGGAGTTGCTGGAGTCAACAATTGACAATGCAGAACCTAAGGCAAGACCAGTCAAAGTGTATGGTCTTTATTGTGATATAAATCCTGTAAGTATCCAATCTTCATGGGATATTCAGCAGCTGTCCCCATGTCAAATGCAAAACCATGCAAAACATCCTCTGGAATCACTCATTCAGAGGTTGGAAACACTTCTGATATTCATGAAGGCTAGGCACCTCTGCCTGAACCCAGACCTTCCCCGACAACTGACATCCAAGTTGAGGAATACTGAAGACACTCACACGTCTGCTGCCTTTTCAGCATTCTTGGAAACATTGACACCACCAACTTAGTCACAACCATACCCAGCGAACGCGAACACGGACGCGCGTGCTTCTTTCATCCCAGCAGCGGTCAGCTCAGAAGCGTGGAGAGTTTCAGGATCAAAGGTGCTCGAACCCGAGCTGCTGAAGAACCGTTTGCCGCTTCGCAAGATCAACGGCGGATGTATTATTAATGAGGTGCCGTATACACTGTATAATTACCTAAGAAAGACTCTAGCCACTGGATGAAAAATGATCAAGCAAAGGTTCAATCATGCAATATCCAACATATATAAAATATTCCAGCCCACCCCACCCCCAGATACAATCACCGGTCCACAAATCTCCAAAATGCCCCGTCCCAACACCCACCCACCTTCCCCACCTTACCCTTTGCCCCGTTCTGTTCGTTTTGGACGACCGGTATTGGGAGTGGTGGTTCCACCGTTGTGTCACCGCCCTGCAATCCACAGCCGTTGTCGTTGGCGCCTGCGTGCGATTCTAAATACTCCAAGATATACTATATACCAACGGAGTTGTTTCAGGGAGTCTGGAAGTTTTCTTAATTGATCCTCAATCTGAGGTCCCCAAATCACATCATAGAAACACATCGCACGGATGGTACAGCAACCTTTCTATCTCTCCAAGCAACCTCTATTCGATTTGCTTCACCATGCAAACACCAAGCCCATGATCTCAGCCCATGATCTTGCTGATCACATAGTCTGCTCTTCAAACACCTATGGATCAAAGCACCTTCCAACCTTCCTGGACCATCCTGTCTGGAGATCCCTAAGTAGGGTAGGATAGTCCTGCCAGGACACCCAGACAGGATGGTCCTGGTTGGTTCATGAACAACACCAAGACCTGCCTGTCACCGATGTCACCGCGGGCCGTGTCGGTCGCTCGGGCGCGGCTCGGGCGACCGGGCCACTAAGGGCCTCCACAAGCCTACGAGATCTGGACCAGCCCAGGTGGGGAAGTAGAACCTCCACTGAGATGACAGCGAGTTTCCACTGTCAGACATGGATGGGGTTTGAATGGATTTGATCTATTCAAAGTCAAAGAAGCGACAAAAAGGGCAAACAAACGACTATGGAAGGGAAGTTGCGAAGACTGTCCGACTTGGAGGTCGAACCGTCTCCCTGCATTGAAACCCGTTGGCAATAGTTCATGCCGTCACTCTTTCTAACTCCATACTGGGCAAAAACGCGCTGTTGGGGCTGTTCGGAGAATGCTCATGGGTCATAAGGGTCATACATCAAAAACTCTGCTCAGCTCCCCAAAAAGACAAGTCGTTTCTCCAGTCAGCCCGATGGGCCCGCAGCATCAGTGAAGCATGTGAACCATGTGCCCGCCATCCCAGTCAGTCCGAGCTTTGGGGTGACTGGACTCGAGCTTTCAGTGGCACCCACTGTGGCACCCATGTCCCCTTCTCTTAGCTTTGTCAATGGGTTGAGCATTGGGTGGGTTGCTTTAAGGAACCTCCTCCCTATGGCACCCTCCGTGTCCCGTTCTCTTGGCTTGAGGAACCAATGCTTCATCTCCTCTGCTGAGGGCAGCAATGCCTTGGAAACCGTCGCACCGACTTCCGTCTCAAGGACCTTGAGTGACCTGAACGAGGACCCATCACCTAGGGCGACTGGGGTACCTATGGGAAAGTCTACTTATATTATATAGTCTATATATATATATTTATATGGTCCTTCAACCTCTGTTGGGAGATCTTGAACAATCTTCAAATGTTCTCTTTCAGCCCTTGCATTTGGCTAGTTTCGACCAACTGGTTCAGTGGCTGCGACATGGTTTGCAGCCAAACACCCTGAAGATCATTGAGACGCCACTTGATTTACCGTTTTCAGCTTTCAACATGTAGAATCGACACCACTGCCGGCGCAGTTGGAACTCACGTGTTTTGGTTGATTGTAACGAGGGATTCTGATCCTCTTGGGATCCCATTCTGTCCAATATAGTGAAAGCAATCTGGATATGCCGGGTCCGGCACTTGTTGTACCCCCACAGGTACAAAGTAACTAAGCAGGTCTGGGAACATCTAACATAAACGACATCCATGGGTTTGGAGGTCCCCCTGGCGAAATGCGGTCCCCCAACTGAGGACCCCTGGCATGGAGTTCGGAGCCTCGTGGGAGAACCTAGGCAAGTTTTCAGGTGATGGTTGGATGGTGTGAAGGTTGCTCAAGTTCCTAAAGAAATTTAGACAGGCACCACGATGCACCACGGTTTTTCAGCCGGCGAATATCCACCAGTTGCTTCGGATGTCTGACAAGATAATGACATCACCAAAGCTTGCATCAAGTGGGACATAAACCACCACTAGTTTGTGCGTCGTCCTAGGGATCCACATCCATGTATAAGGACCAGGGATATGATGTTCAGGTTTTGGAGCGTTCCACCTACCTGGAGGATCCTGGTCTTGCCTCTGATTGGGAACATCGCGTCTCTGGGCGCTGGACACACTCCACTGCCACGACCAGGTCATCGATCTTGTCACATTCTTCGCACCTGCCCGAGCAAACGCAGGTCGAGCGGCACCCATCGGAGGAGCGGCAGAACGTCGATGCGATGAGGCTCTGTCTCGCCAAAGTACTTGGGATGCCGAAGTACCTCCCGGCCACCTTGGTCCAGCCGCATTTTTCTCATTTCCAAAGAAGCGTGCCACGACATCGCTATTGGGTCAGAGGCCATCGCTACTAGGTTGGAGGCCATTTCGATCGCGGGAGGCCATCGCTATTAGGTTGGAGGCCATGACCGCAGTGAGCACAAATCATCTGTCGCGCCTTGGCATGCTCGGCGATCCCACGTGAACGAAGGAGTCGCTGAGGTGGAGCTGTAAAAAACTCTGCAGCGCCTGTCAAACAGCGAAGCGGCAGTTGGCCAGGCCGCAGAAATCGCGTGATGACAGGTGTGGTGAGTGGATATGATCTAAATCATTCTAAATATTATGTGTTTCTGGGGTTCGATGCTTAAATGTGTGAATGTCGGACCGTTCAAAATGTATGTTCACAGTTTCAGCAAGCCTCTTCGCTTGCATAGGTTCAGTGGATTGAAACATGTTGCTTAAAGTTCAACAAACGAGTTCCACGGTGGTCCATCAGTCCCTAATGCCTACAAACCATGAGTCATAGTCTACCAAGTCTTTGCATGAATTATTCCATTTTATAGGACATTGATTTCCTGCATGTATATAGATATATGTAGAAATTATCGTGTCATTTTTTCTTTGAATGGACGGAAAGGAACTCTGTGCGATGTTTTTGTTCGTGATCTCTCACAAGCGACCACATGTGGCTTCAGCAAACGCCTACTGCTCAGTGCCTGGTTGGAGGTAATGGGATAATCATTATCGTTCAGGTTGATGAAGTACTCCCAGCCGTCCTATCAGACTGGCGCTGCGAAAAGCTTGTGGGCAAACGCCACGCCTACATACGCCTACATACGCTTACTATAGATAACAAATCTAAGAGAACTCTACAAGTTACACGTTTGGGAGTTCTGAGGCAAAGCAGCAAAGTAGCCGAAGCAAACGGCTTTTTCTGCAATGCATTGGCCACTGGCGACACGACTTGGCGACGTTCACATCTCCTGGGCGATCAAAAGCTCCAAAGCACGAAGCATGACCAGCAAAAAGGATGCCCCACCTGGCGCACGCGGTCAAGCGCTCGACGCGACGGTCAGACCGACCCGACCGACGAATGTCTCTGAATAATGGACTCAACATGAGAGAACCAAACAAAGCCAACGTTCCTGACTTCAAAGGTATGCTGCTTCCCTTTGTTGGGGCTCGACCATCTTGAATCCAGGTGATCCCAACAAGAAACTGATCGACCATCACTGTCAAATCTCAGCATCAAAAGGTCTAGCTAGAATCAATGCGACTTCCAGGATATCATCATCTGCAGGAGTTTCCTCTTCCTCTTCAGGTGCGACTCTACAGCTGTGCGGATGCAGGTCTTTCTCCGTCAATCCCCCAGAATCGTTCAGCGGATCAGCGGACGATCAGCGGATGCCAAGAAGGCCCAAATATGTTCCTAGTGTGAAAAGCAAAGACAATTGCAAACAAATACACAAATGCAAACAAGTCACACTATAATGATACCTGGTTTTCACATGTTTCCAAGAGTTCTACAAAAGGCTTCACTCTCTTCCATTGATCTCACCAGATCTCACCAGATCTCACCTCCTCACCGCGTGACCCGGACCCTTCTCCGAGCTCACCGGGAGGCGTTGACCGCCCGCTAGCCTCGGCGCAGATCGAAGCGTTCCGCCATGACCTCGTAGCGGGGCTCCACCTGCCGCCGCTGAACGTGCAGCGCAGAGGTTCCCTCCTTCGGTGGGTCGCTGGGTCCACCCCGAGCTCTTTTTTTTCGGCCCCGTTGGATGGGAGGAAACATGGACGCCGGGAACAGGTAAGGTCACGGGTCTGGAAAGCGAGCCAGTAGGAGAACTGAAAGGGTGATCCGAATCATCATGTTTGGACTCGGACTCCAGTGACTCCAGACAGCTTTTCCTCAAATCTTTCATGGGGATAGTACCTGCCAGGCGCTCACCTCTGTGAGCAACTGCTGCAGCTCCTTCTCCTTTCTCCAAGAAGCCTGGAGTTTCATGCAACGCATCATCCACAAAGCTTTTGTGAAGCCAACATCGAGGCTTCAGATTCAGTACGGGATTCCTTTTGAGAACGACTTGCCCGCCATTGGTGCCGTTGGCAAACCCCAAAGTGGCCAATTGATAGGAATGGATTGAGCACTTGGCCTGAACGCCTGGTCCCCGCTTTCAGTAGCAAGGGGTCAGTGACTTCAAGCAAAAGCAACTGAAATGTAATTGCGGATCTACTTGATATTCGATTGCACACAACCTTGCCTGTGAATTGCGTTATCTTGTCCTAGCTCGCTGAACTTAGTAACTTAGGGGCACACCAACTAGGCTTACCACATATCCATGTGGCCGACAATCGCTGCCTTCTTGTCAAGGTGTATCAAAAAGAAATGCCAAGGTTCTTTCAACCTGGCCAAGTGAGAGCCAATGGGCCTATGCACAGCCAAAAGAAATTCGAAGTTGATCAACGTTCGTTGAAACTGTTGCTGTTTAAAGAAATGCAACCTTGCTTGTATTGCTGCTTAGATAAGCTGCCTCCTCTCATGATTCATAGCAAGTCATGACAAGTGACTTCGTGAGCTTGCTCATTCTCCCGTGCAGCTTGCTTGCCTTGCTTGTGACATGACTCCAAGCATCCTGGAACTGAGGTGTGAAGCCCCCGAACACTTCAAGGCGTGAACTCCTTCAATCCATCCTTCAAGGAATTCATGAATACCCCCTGGGATTTACAGCTCCCTCGTAAGAACAATCTACTTAGCTACGTGAACCACCCTTTCATGCCATCGGCACGATCGACGTCTGGGGGAGTGGACACTTCGAGCACAGGACTTGGCCCAAGCCCCAAACCCTGCAATACGTATTTCTCTGAGAAAACACACGACCCGTCTAGTTCTTATCTAAGCAATCCAAACATCTGCCAGTGTCGTTGACTTGTCGTTTGTTTTGGATACAAACATCCCACTCGTTCACTGGTCGACGGAACTGTCGCCCTGCACAGCGCCGGGCACGCGGGACACGGGGAAAGAACGCGGTTCGGCACCTGCGCAGGAGCTGCTTGAGGTTCGGCAAAGCCTTGTAGGCCAAGAGCAAGAAGGCCTTGGTACTCTCTTCGGCCCGGTGAATTGATTGGTCCTGGACTCAGTCCTGGACTTGAGGAAGTGGTCGATTGGAGCCCAATGGAAGCAGTGTTCTTCCATGAAGGCCGTCTGAGCACCCGTTTTGCCACATCGAAACACTGAGGCTAGTGCCACACGCACAGGCTTCTCATCCTGAAAGATCGCCTGGGTGGAGATCTCCTGGGTCGACTCGTCGACCGAGGCCGAAGCGATGTGGATGACGACTGTAGCAGATACGGTTGCAGTCGGCTCGCCGACCGCGGGAGTTTCTAAACAGACCGTGTAAACTATAAGTGAGTGGGGTATGAATATTCTGGGAAAGGAGAACATCAGGAAATTAGAGTCATACAATCTGAGACCGTGACATGAAGGATGTATCTGGCCGGGAAGCACCATTACCATTAGGATACAGCTCGATCTAGCTGGCCCTGGAAACTGCCAGGTGCTACGGTTGGTGTAGTGGAAGCGTCCCAAGTTACTGATAGAAAAGGATAGAAAAGGAGCTTTTGATGACTCCAGGCCGGTGGTGCCGCCAGGCTTTTGCCTGTAAGTAGAAACACTTCAATACTCTGTATAAAATCCTGAGAACGCCTGCACTCGGTCAAACAAAGTCAAACATCTTTGAGTCTCAGTTCAAATTGTTGAACTTCCCTCAAAGTTTTTCCACCGATTCAACTAGATAGGTGAATCATGGCAAAACCCACCCACCAACCCACCCACCACACACCACGCTGCACCACCCAATCCTGTACGGCGCTGGGTGGCGCCACATGACGGGCGACGGTTTCGGCGCCGGCTTCGGTTTCGGCGCGACCACGTCGCGTTTGCCCGTGGCGGACCAAGTCCAAGCGCCTCGGGCGGTGGTGAAGATGGTTGAGATGTTGAGTCCATGGGGGGCTGAGGGCGAAGATGGTTGGATGGTTGAAAGATGTTGACTCTCTGTGACACGCTGTGGAAGACAAGGTGATGATGCGACTGTTCGGCCCTCTTTAGTGTGATGTTGTGAGAAGATTTCAATGGTGATTCATGGAGCTCAGCGCAAGTAGATTTCATTCATGATTCTTTCATGATCTCTGTGATTTAGTGGTGATTCATGGTGTCATGTAGATTTCAGGAACTCTTTCTCAGCGGCCATGGTGTGTCGGCTTGGATGACTTTCCAGCGAAGAAGTTCATCAAAACACATCTGGGTTCCATCATCCACAACATCTGGCCAGCTACCAGCTACCGCGTCTGTTTTCAAGGGCCCCACTGGCAAAGCTGCTGAGAGATCTGGGCAGAACCTGGACTGAATGTTGATGTGCCAGAACACAAATGGCTTTAGACATGCGTTAAACATAAAAACACGCCAAAGCGCTTCTGTCATCTTGCATGACAATATGCACTGGTGGGTGTCTCAGCTCCAGTTCTTCTATGGGATCGTCTGACAACTTGGGATCTCAATTTCCGCACGTATCTTCATGCGACCATGCTCTTCAGTTGAACAGTTCTTTTGCAAAAAACTCATCCAAACAAAGAAGTAGTCTTTGAACCGCATCAATGCTGCGGGCTTCTAGTTTGGATCTCACTTTGGTAGCTCGCGCATTGAGACCAGTCTAATCACCCAATTGACGTATACTGTGATTCCCGACAGTCCGGTGTGGCAAACACCAGTTCTCGCACAGCTGTGATGTTGATCTTGGCCGATGTGAAGTCTCCGATTCTGGGTAAGGAACTTGCAACGCGACCCAGCAAAGTCTCCAAGTCTACTGAGTCTACTGAATATACTTCCCCAGGTTTCCCCAGCAACGCGACTGCTCTCTACGAAAGGCTGACCTAGGGGCACTTGCAGTTGAGGGAAACACTGATGGTGGCACTGAAGGTGATACTTAATGGCTGACACCATATACCCATATACCTATCAGCACTATATATTAATATAGGGCACAGTATGGCACATTAACTGGCACAGTACATGCTTATACATGCTTCATGTTTTCCTTAGCGTCTACTACTACTTTGAGTTCTATTTGGTGTATCCCATTCCAAATCACCAATAAGTGTGAAGCATTGTGCAAACAACATCTCTGTAAGTTGGACTGGCCTACAAAATCTCAACAACTGACTTGGACAGCAGGCACAACTAACGAATCTTCCGTGAGACACTGGTTTGCGTCCGCACCAACTGATCCAGTCCGGCCAGTGGGTTAGATGGTGATCTGGGATAGCGCACTAGCACCATCAGTGAGCCCGTGTTCAACATTGAAACACTAGTTACAGTAAAAGTAGTACGTTACAGTGAAACACTTAACTCAACTCCACACTCGGTGGGGGCTTCAAATAGATGAACCAGCCGGCGAGTTGTTGGATCACAAAGAAGGAATCTCTCGTACGCCAAGCCACATCTATGCTCCCTTGAAACGAAGGTATATAACTGCTATGTAGGCAATGTACTGTACAATCTTTTTCATTGGTTGAGGCTCTTGGGCCATTGACTCTTCCGCTGAGTCTCCAGCACCATGTGAGTGTTCCTGAGGCGATGTGAGCGCTGTGCTCGCTGCTCGTGCTCGTGCTGTGCTGCATCGAATGCCCGGAGTAGCAAAAGGTACAATGCAGGAGATGTCACTGGCCATGTGTAAGTGATATTGTCTGTGCAGCAAGAAGGGTTACCACACAGCCCATTCTTGGAGATCGTCTTTACCAAAAGCTACAAGTATGTGTTCTGCAGGTAATTGTTGGTTGGCACACTTCTGGAAGCACAACTGTCGGCCGTGGCATCAGGCAACCATTTGTCCTCAGGAGATAACGTCGCAAACTTAGAGTAGGGCTCCTTTTTAGACAGGAACCTTTGTGTACATGTTTGAACATTTGTGAACGGCCAACACCTCCTGAGCTTCCCAGGGTTGAGACTTTTGGTGACCCAACATGGAAGGAATGACGCTGTTCGTCCGGGTGTCTCGAGTGAACGAGACACACGGGTTCCACCCGCTCCTCCAAGTAGAGCTTCGCCTGCGGCGTTGTGACCCACGGCCGGTCATGAGGTGTGACCGGTCATGAGGTTTGGAGCTCCGGGCGTCTTGGTGGGTTTTTGATGGTTTTTGATTCTTGGGATTTGGATGGTTTCGTTTCTTTTGGCTTCCCTGGCTTCCAGTACCCGGCGCTTCAGCGACAGATCTGGTGGCGACTAGGATAGTTGGTTTGCTTCAAGCCTGCTCACCTTGCACCTCGGGGAAGAGACAAAGCTCCTACGTCATCGCAAGCAAAGAAGCAAACACTTTTTTCTTCCGGTCGGCTTTTAGGTGGGAACCTGGCTGACACACCATGAAGCAGGCAGTTTTTTGTTTGGTTGTTCTTCAGCAGGGTTGAGACCGTTGGGATTGCAAGGAGAGATGATGTCGGGACCTCGTGTGCCATCTTCCACAACCCCTTAATAAGGCTGAAGACAGCAACAGGTTTATGATCACACAAATGAAATGGTTCTGGTGATTAAGGATAAGTCAGTGTAAGAGTCTTTATGGGTTCTTTAGGTAGTCTCACCTTTTCAAACCCCTTTTCTCGACGAGTTGTGGGACCAATTTCGGCAGCTGAAGGAAGTCGTCATTCTTCAAACTATATAACCTAGTGCAGAGTCCTTTCAATCCAGTCTCCGGTTGCTTCATAGGGGATTAGACCATGAAACTCTGAGAGTCTCCTAGTAGCAAGAATGCTCCTAGTAGGGATGCCAGGAGCCCCTAGTAGCGTCCTTGCTCCTAGTACGTAGTAAGGCCAGGAGCCCCTAGTAGCTTCTTGTTACTAGTAGCTTGACCATGCAACTCTGAGAGTCTCTTCAGCAAAGTTCAAAACCAAATGGGCAGCGGTTGGCTCCGTAGCAGCGGTGCTGAAATATCTGAGCTTCGTCATAGATGAAAGGGCCATGCATGGCCATGCAATATAGAACCGGTCCACAGAATCTGGTATAGTTCCAACCTGTTCCAACATGAGAACCTCTCACACCACGTTTGCGTTTGTGGCTAAAGCAAGTAGTGGACCTTCATTTCCAGTTCCACCGATGGACTCCATGCCGAACGGGCCTCAAAGGTTGCCAGGATGGGGCGCCCAAGTGCCCAAAAGAGCCATGCCATGCCATCTTGGCCATCTTGGCCATGGCCGGGTCTCAACGTGATCTACGTCTTCCCTGCTACCAGCAGGTTTCGGTGGGTATTTACCAGCAACCTCCATTGGGAAAAGCCACATCGACAGCTGAAAGTGAAGCAAACTCAGCAAACTCCCTGAGATCAGTCGACAAACATTCACCCAACAGCCAAACCAAACTGGCCCATGATTGGTCAATTAGGCTAAGCTTGTCAAGGAAAACATACACAACCGAGAGCTAGGGTTTTACAAAACGCGCATCTGGCACATGCCCAGCTGAGCCGGTATCTGCGAGAAGTAACAGCTTTCTGCTCTTCGAGTGTGCTGAGTGCAGCGGCTGTGATTTCGACAAATGGCAACCTTATCAAGCCTGTTCAGCGGGAATATATATATATATATATCTATACACCAGCCAGGAGATTGCGAATCCTTTTAGCAAAATCACCAGCTCAAACACAAGGAAGGCAAGCTTGCATGGGAAATAGCCCGATAATGATCGATCATGCCTTCGACAATTCAATGTATCTAAACTAACAAATATTCCTGGCAACCAAGTGGTCTCAGGTCAATGAGCTAATTAAAGTGGTAACCACCCCATCTTCAAGGAGTCCATCGAGAATCTTAGACAAGCCATCTTTTTGATCCCAAAATGATCAAGAACCACTGGAAGAGCCCCTGCCGTGTTTCTTCACATTGGCATGTGTTTCTTGAGACCGGTGACATGACCTGAAACCATGCCCAGCGCCAATCGCCCTCGGGAGCCGCCCTCAGGACCCTCATATGTACAGCCACGCCCCGGACGTCCTTGGCGATCCGGTCGAGATCTCAGGTTGAGATCTCGGGTCGGTCAAGACAGGTTGGACAGGAGATTTGGTTGACATCGGTGTACACTCTGACTCTAACAGATCTATACAGTATGTCTCTTGGATTTGGGCAATGGTCTGAGTGTGCTGTGGCCTTTTAGGATGGTCTGAGATGGTCTGAGTCTTGGGGAATGGTCTGAGATGATCAGGTCCAACATAGTCAACATAGTCTCATCCAGTTTTCCGCTGCCGAGCCTAGTCCAAGCTTGACTGTCAATGGTTGACTAGTCAGACTAGTCTTCATCGACTTCACCGGCAGTCTGCAGCGACGGTGGCGGAAATCCGTGTAACACTTCGGACCCTCCATTTTTGTTGAAACTCCTGCAGCCATTGGTTCGGACCCTCCAAACAAATACAGTAAACCGTTATTTGGCGTGCCTCAAATGATGGTTCATGGCACATCTCTTAGAACCTGATTCAGCGCCCGTAGGCCTCCCATGCGCTTGCTCGTGCTCACGAGGATCCAACATGCTCGTGCTCCCCACTCTAAAAGCGTTCCTGTCAACAAAAGCTCTGGGAGCTGGTAGCTTTCGCATGGTTCAGGTGATTGAAGTTCTTATATGAATTGCTTAAAGGCAGGCTCGGCGATGCAAAACAGAAAAGCTCAGGCCTTTCGTGAACTCTGAATGTATGTTTCTTGCTACGCGTACTTTTGACTGGGATTGATTGACTTGGGATGAAGCAAAAGGCACCCGGTCCTCCGGCAAAGCACCCTCCTTCTTCAACTGTTCCAGGGCCTTCAACTGCTCGGGCGTCACCTGGCATCGGCCGATCGGCGAGGGAAAAAAATGCGACCTTGACCGGTTGACCCGGTTACACGCCGCTTGGGGAGTACAAATATATATATATACCAAGAGAAGTTAAGTGACCTTATAGGACCCTACTGGGGTACCGAACCGGGATGGTCTATAGGGTCCTTAAACCTTTGTTGGTATATAACATGTTATGCTATATATATATACACGGGTTTGACCCAGTTAGTCGTATATACATCAATATATACCCATGCAATACCCATGCATATTCCTCTAAGCCCCCACTCGTGCAAATGTCCCTGACCTTTAGAGACAAACACAACCTGTGCCCCGCCAAGCTCTTCTCACAAAGGGCGGCAGATTATCGGGAGATCTGTGTTAACCATTTACTTAATTGATCTTTGTTAACCATTTACTTAATTTACTTCCATCAAGTGATAGGCTTCCAGCATTTCCCACTGTCAACATTCTCTGAGCTTCTCCACTTCATGGGGAAAACAAATGGTTATATAATGTATATAGGATTGAGAGAGAAACAATAAATTGCTTTGTGCGAACGGGTTTCTGCCTGCCTGCCTGGCTGCGCAGGCTGCGCACTATGCTGATTCTTTGGTGAGTGACAGTGAACGTGTGATTTTCTGCATGCGACATGCGGGTTCATCATGGCACCTTGCCTTCTTGTCACAGCAGCAACCAACATACAACATGCCCAATCCTAACATTCTACATCCTTGACCATGTTTTTCCCAGTTGTGCCCTGGGCCTCTGCTGTGCGAGCCTTTTCCAACTCCTGCTCACTGTCAGACAACCTGCAAGCGATTTGTGGTCAGTCGAGCAGGGAAACATATTTTGCAGTATTGATACAAACGGGTGGAACCATCTCAATTCTCAAGCCAGGGGATCCATCAAAACATATCATAAACTCATCAACATCCCCACATGCCGAACTGAGGGGCCAAAGCCAAGAATTGCTTGTTTTCATTTGTATTCAGTTCCACTAACCCCAAGTGGGCGATCTATCGCCCACATTCTCGACCTCCTCAGTGGATGCTTCTTACGCTTCGGTCTTTGGGTGGTGGCAACGTCGGTCCGGACGCGACGCCATCGATGGGGTGATGCCCGGGTGCCCGGCAGGAAGGAGTCTGCCACCTCGGTGATGGCCTGGCCGATGGTCGGTGTGGGTTCTGTGGAGTCGGACTCTGCTGGAGCAGATTTAAGATCCTTTAACCGATTGGGGCGAGGATTTGGTGTATATGGTTGCCGGTCTCAGTATATACAATATATGTAACATATACGTATATTTATAAATCCATTTTGATGTGGTTGACAGAGATCCAGCCAATGCAGCAAGGATAGCGGTGGCAGCCTATGAGTACATCAGAGAGCTGCTGGAACAAGATAATCTCAAGATCTCCGAGAAGAAGACTGGCTTTGTGGTCTCCAACACAGCGGCCAAGAGGCTCCTGCAGGAGAAGCTGCCTGCCAAAGGCCCACAGGTCCATGATGTCATGAGGGACCTTGGTGTTGACTGCACGGCAGGAAGGCTGCGGCACATCATGACCATGAGAAATCGCAGAGGCAAAGCTGCAAGGAAAACGAAGAAGCTGACCAATTTGAAGATTCCTCAACGAGGCATCCGCCTGAAGCTCTACAAGGGGAGCATCTTGGCCGGAGTGAGCTGGGGGCACGAAGCCATGGGCCTGGCTCCCCAAGTTGGACGCAAGATCAGGGCGGTCATGGGCCGACAGTTGGGCATGCAAAGACCGGCAACTTGGACATTGTCTATGACATGAACCCAAGGCACCAGGACCCTGACTACGGCTCCTTCATGTCCCAGGTGAAGGCCTGGAAACGATTCTATGACAACTGGCCGGAGGTTTTACACTGCTCCCTGGAGAAAGCCTGGCAGGCCATCTTTGAGCACCTCGAGCAAGCCAAGCACCCTTGGCAAGTCGCCAAGGGGCCTGTAGCGGCCCTGCAGTGCCACCTGAAGGAGCATCACTGGGACTGCAGAAACTATGGAGAATGGACCAAACCTGGGCACAATGGCAGTCGGGACTTCAGGCTCAGTATGAATGATGATTGGTTCACTCTCCGAGAAGAACTCAAGCGAACTGAACGCTGGGAGGGAGCGTATCAACAAGCGTGCTCAGTGAGGTCCAGTTCACCATGGATTGGAAGCCATGGCAATAGATGACGAAAACACGCAATGCTCGCGAAAGTGTGGCGCTCCTCACCTGGCACCAAGGGGCACTTTTCACCAAGATGGCTGACAATGAAGAGAACAGACATCTTCAATGCCCACATTGTGGACGACCAACCACCATCCTGCACCTGCTATGGATGTGTAAGGCCACCAAGGAAGGAATTCCCAGCCCTGGACCCTGAAGATCGCTTTGAGATCGACCAGGGTCTGAACCTCGAGTTCTGGACACCAGGCATCCTCCAGCTTCCCAAGTATGAGATCCCTACTGGAGGAGCTGCTGTCCAAGCCTGGAGCAGCTGGACCGTCCATGATGAACTCAAGGTCAGCAGCACTGCGGTCTTCACCATCGGAATTGCGGCCACGAGCAAAGACAGCCGGCTCAGACATTATGTTGTGGGGCAAGAGCTCTACCGCATGGGCACCGTTGCCACGGTGCTCCCAGGGAAACAAACCTTGGAGCGGGCGTGGTTCTATGGGTTGAGGATGGCAGCGCACTATGTGGACTTGAGCACTCAGGTCAAGATCCATGTGATGTCAACCAAGGCCTGGGAAGCCTGGATCCATGTGAAACATGGTAATCTTTTCCATGATTTAGAGCAGCTGGTCACCATCGACCAACGCAGGCAGATCCAGGCTCTTAGCATCAGCATGCAGCAGGTTCGGCACATTCCCATGACTATGACCCTCAAAAAACGCTTTCATGATGCCACCAAGGCGGCCACTGAGTCGCTTCAACCTCACGAAGAAGAAGCAACCTTGAAGCAGCAAGATGCCAAATACCGGCGAGTTGCCGCTCTGGCTATCCAGCGCATCCGGTACCTCCTGGACAACAAGGAGCATTTCATGCACCAGGAGAGGCTCTGAGAAACCAAACCCAGGAGCAGAAGGAAAAGGTCTATGCTGAGCTCTCTCAGGCTACTTACCCAGCACCACACAAGTGGACCTCCAAGGGCAGGGCTCAGCAGTGCACTCTATGTCTCAAGAGGGTCACACTTCAAGCTCCCAGAACTCACAGAGGCTTCACAAGAACGATGCCCAGGCAACCCGGGCAGCTGGAGGTAGTCAGGCATCCAGCACGGACAGCAAGCAGGACACCATTGCCAAGATCTTAGAGGACACTCATCCGGGCATGGGAAACCACTCTTTCATGATCCACAACTTGTACATGGTCTGTCAGGGCTGTGGCTGCCGCTTACTTAAGAATGCGGCCAAGGAGAAATTGGTTGCCCTTGCCGAAACACAGTGTTGGAACGAGGCCTGGGCGCCACCTTCAGGGTGGCAGGGACATGCCACACATCAGATGTGGCGCAGAGCAAAGCTTGTGAGTTGCATCGGCTGCAAAGCCCGGGCAGTTGCGACTGAGAAGGGATGGATGGCCAGCAAGACGCTCAAGACGCGATGTGGGGGAGCCGCTGAAGCCCTCACTCTGCCGGCTTGCTTCAAGGCCAAGACGGCCTAATGCAGCACCAGAAAAGGAGCGAAGAAAAAACAAATAAATCCATCTCTTCCACCAAAGTTTTGGAAAAGGGTTGCCGCTGAGGCAAGAGGAACACCGCATGTGTGGCCTTTGTCGATCACCGATTTCATCGGTCGAAATCAGTCGAGAGTCGATAACTCGACCTGACCCTTGGACCCCCTTGGGGTCATCTTACCACATCTTGCTGGTCGACCGAATACACATTCAAACAGCCCAGTCAAGGGGTCCAGTCAAGGGCGTTTCGGACGCTACTAGTGGCTATTTGCTACTATACTTATATAATCTTATATAGTAATGTCAGGAGCTACCAGTAGCTTCTTGTTACTAGTAGTAAGGTGCCTTGTTCCTAGTAGCTTCTTGTTACGTTCGTCTTCTCGGAGCGACAGCGTTTTCGCTTGGCCTCCTTCAGCTCTCCCCAGTTGTTTCTGGCATCGGAGGCTGGGCCAGAGATGTCCAAGAGCCAAATGTAGTAGGTCGGATCCTGTGCCAAATCGACAACTCGGAACGGTTAGGTCCTTTAGAAGGTCCAGCTGAGTGCTATGTGTTTGAACATCAAAACACTCGGGCATTCGTCATGGCACTTGGACACACACAGTTGCACAGTTGCAAAGATGCCCTCAATACTTCCACTGCCACTCTCAGATTTCCAATGGTCCAACGGTTTAGGCCTGTCTTGAGGCTTCTTAGAATGGAGATCTGGAGGCTCTGTCTTCCAACAGCTGCCAGCTGCACAGATCTATCCATGTTGCAGGGGACTCTGTGAAAATTCACCCCAAGAAATCCAAACCGTGCAAGGAGTTCTCATGGAAACCTATGCTCCGACACATGCTCCACTGCTTCAAACGGTCTATTTTCAAACCTCCCTGTGTGAGCCACTTCCTGCTCACCCTCTCCAGTCTCGCCCGTTGAACAGCACCTTCTCTCCCCGCGCGCTGGCGCCCTCATCCGTGACCGTGAACAGAATCCGGTGCCGGCGCTCATAGAGCGGTAGCTCCGAGGTGTCCTGAGGGAGCGGCCGCTTTCGGACCATATGGCATTATGACCATCTGGGTGTCCTGGCTGGAGATCCCGAATAGTAGTGCAGGGTAGTCCCGCCAGGACACCCAAACAGGATGGTCCTGGAATGGATTTCATGTCCTTTTTCCTTGTATGAGAAGACAAGATCATGGATAGCCAGAATTGAATAGAATTGATGGTTTTACTTACTTTGGACGCAAACAACATTGCATAAAGGGAAAGGAAACATGGATGGATAAATGATGGATGCATATGAATAAATACATGAATTGATTGGTCTTCATCTTGATTGGCTCCAGATTCTAAGCTCCCTCACATAGCGAACGATCCTAAGCAGCCAGATTCTGTCCTCAATGGCCATGCAAGTGTCGCCCTTGCTGCCTTTGGTCACCTGGACGACCCGACGACTGACGACTGGTCGGTGACTGGTGGTCGGTTCGGTGTCCGCTCAGACGACCTTCCATTGATCGCATATGTATATATATATATACTGTATATATTACAGCCTCATAACAGGGTACCCGGGTACCCATTTCCTTGAGGAATTTCCAATGGGGATACAGGGATACACGTGTGTATATATATAATATATATATATAGTAAAAATTATTCACCTTTCGGATCCGTTTGGGAGGTCCATGATCGGACTCGTCGGTGCGTACACCACAGCCATGGTCATGAATACCACAGCCATCCACCCACAAGGTATCAAGAGTATGGTTGGCTAACCCACGAACATCAACTGCCTTTAAATGCCCATACTCACTCTCCAGTCCAAAGATCGCAAAAGGCCGGGAAACCATCTGCTAGCTGGAACTCAATCACAGCTCTGACCCATCTCAACATTTAAGACATCGTTGCCTTTTGATCCGCTCAGACATCTCAGTCTCAGACCCTATATAAATCACTGAAACCAGCCTCACTACATCTCACTACTAAATGTGGACGCCCCATCCCCTGAATTTCCGCAACCCTTCCCAACACCGAAAATGTCCTTTCCATCATGATATCGATTTCAAAGCAATTCCTGTGCCCATCGCGGAGGTCTTAAGAGGTCTCAAATGTTCGTTTTTCGAGTCGTTTCGCCCCACGCCGTTCGCGTTTTGGTTCGCGAACAAGGGGAGGGAAAATTTATCGTGTAACACGTTTAGACATGGCAGTTACCATTCGGAAACTGAACAGCTTAAATATGCTGAAATTGAGTGTTCTCTCTGGAACTCAGGACACTCATCACCACTCCAGTCTGCTTCATCCCTTGTCTCAAGAAATCTCAACCAAGAAGCAACACCAGGACAAATGCTGGCTTCGTAGTCGTATTTGATGTAGCCTATGTTGGTCACAAGCGAAACCATGAACACTACTGGGCTCACAGGATAAGAGAAGCATACATCAAAGAAGTGTCACACACTCACATACACTCAGTGCAGTGGCGGGCCCAGGTGAGCTGGGGCCGACCACGGAATCCTGCAATGGCCGCGTTGAGCTATGTTGAGCACACTCCCTCCCTCTGCATGGTATAGTATAGCCCACTTGCACTGGAAGCCTCTCTTCACTAAGCGTTTGGAGTGTTTTTCGAAACGTTGGCACCAAACGTCTCGGCACCAAGACAGGGGGTCGAACGTCGAAAGCAAAACACGATCTCTAGCAGGGTCCAACGCTCCCCCTCCTTCCTGTTTGATCTGTTGTGCGCACTAACATGCACAGATTTGGAACATTTACACAGCGTTGCATTTCATGCCCAGAAAGACTTGTTGCTGACCGTACCACACAAAAGGTACAATCCCAGTTCTCATACCTGATTTCCAGGCGAAATAGATTGACCAGTGGCTTTTCTTAGCTCAAAGATGCTTCTTTTGGAACCCTCACCGCAGAACTCGAAATTACAACGGCTTTGGCCGGGCCGCGGCGCTTGTACAGGACCTTCTCAGAGGGCTTCTCGAGGAACTCCCACCTGAGCCAAGTCTCGGGATGAGATACAGTAGGTCTGAGGCAAATCCTCCGGGGGTGAGCAAGTGACTTGCACTTCAAGCGCAAGTGACCAAGCTAATGCAAAGGTCTTCAAGAGCAAGCTCAGGAGATATGGATAAATGCTGAGAAAAGGCCAGCGCCCTCTTCGCTGTCTTTCTCCTTCTTTCCGCTCTGATCCACCCATATGTTGTCACCCAGCTCACTGAAGCTCTGTCTTCCGAGGCGCTTGGTGAGGCCGGGTGCCGTCTTCTGGGAAGAAGCCAGCACATACGCTGCACTGTCCACTGAGACGCTGCTCTTCTGGTCCGTCTTGGTCGTGAAGAATTTCACCAGGTCCTGGAGATCGGATCCAATACTGAGTGGGGATCTACGAACCTCTATCTATTTGGGGGTCTATATATAACCTGTACTATAACCTGTATATACATCGGTAAACAGTGCTTTTGTTGGAATCTTGACTTGATTCAAAACAAACAAACAAAAAAACAAACAAACACACAAACAAACACAATCAAACAATCAAACAAACAAACAAGCAAGCAAGCAAGCAAACACACAAACAAACAAACCAAAACAAAAAAACACAAAACACACCAACATGGATTGCAGAACCTCTTCATATGGGGGGTTCATTAATCAAGAGTCTACATTCTATTATGTTCTATTCACAAATGCATACATATTCTTCCACACTGTGACATGTGCTCATCTAATTCTGCAACTTCTCGGCGCGCGGGGGTCTCTCGACTGTGGGATAACATACAAGTTCTGCCCAGAATGGGGCCTACGTCCTACGTCTTGATCCAAGGTTCTACGATCTTAAACAAGTCATCAACCCAAACTTCTCCAACTTCTGGAGGTCACCCTGCAGCACTTGCTTCTTGAATGTTCATTGATTCTTGGCCCAAAGAACCAGCGACGTTTGGATCTGAGCTTGGCGCCTGGTTGAGCTTGGCGTTGGGATCTGCTGGATCTAAGGAGAGGGGAACCCGAAGCACCACCAGCTCGGCGCCTGGTCGAGACGGTCTGGTCTGTTTCGGCGGCGCGTGGGGTCGTCTCCCGGGTCCGTGGGGTGTCGGGCCTGCGGCGCAATCTTGGAACTCCTCGGTGGTGCGAATTCTTCGTGTTGCAACAATTGCAGTGACTTATATATATATATGTTATATTATGTTATAGTTGGTTTTAGATGTTATATATGTTATAGTATCCCCCTGTACATAACGGGGTGACCTTGGATACCCCATTCTATAGCTATAAAAGTGGGGACGCGGAGTTTGGTGTTACAAAATGCTAGGACCTGGAACAAAAAGGTATCTATAAAATGAAGATACCTCTAGTGATGATAGAAATGGGGAGTCTGTTTCAAGTCAAGCTGAAATTGCTCTAGAGAATGCCTGGCCCAACCCTCAACCTCTCAACAAAAAAATACAAAACACTGAAAAACATTTTGTAGTGCACTCGTCTTGGATCATGAAAAAATAGGGTCAGCTGATCCAAAAGGATCTTTGCCGGATGCAGCCATTGTTCACCAAAAAGTGCGTCCACTACAAAATGACTATCGTTCAAAAAGGCACCTCTACAAAATGACAGCGTGCAACCTTGCTCTTTGCAACACACTTGAAATGGCTTCCACTACAAAATGGATTTGGTATGACTTGGATCCAAACAAGGCTCCACTATAAAATGTCCGCCCAAGCAAATGATGTCATCATGTTCATGCCAAAAAATGTCACTACAAAATGATGGTGGCTTGTGACATTTGTTCAATGTCTCTGAGCGAAACACTTAAATCACGACAACATGCAAGCACACGAGGTCATCATGGGACACGATTTTTATATAAAAAACAGATCTATATAGGGGCTCGAGCACTCCCATTCTGTAGTGGAAATGCACTGGGGGATGTTATAGTGGTTTTGATTGGCAATATAGAATAAGCTTGTTGAGCTGTTGGTCGTACTTCTAACTTGCTGAGTTTGGCTTCTGCACGGCGTCAGGGCAGAGGCGGAGTTGGTCATGGCCAGCCGGTGGTTGGCCGAGAGATGTGGTTGGGCTGCGCTTTCATGGCCTTTCAACTGTTGTCTTCAGGATGCGGCCAAAACGAGTTGGCGGAAATCGCCTCTTGCTGCCCTTGGCATCGCATTGCAGGGTGACAGAATGGTCCAACTCTTGGCGGTTGCCACCCTTGCAGCCTCATCTGCTTTCTGGTTTGAAGAGGTCTTTTTGGCCTGCGGCAGCAGCCTGGGTGACAAGTTTCAACCTGCCTCAACTCCAATAATCTGGTTCAGACTTCGGCATTTGAGGTCTACAGCTGCCTCATGCTGCCTCCACCCCACCTGGCCTTGGTTCGGATTGCCAGCCACCACCAGGGCCGTGGCCTTCTTGACGTCCGGCGGGGGCTGAGCGTTTTGCTCGAATGTCCGCCAAGTCCTGTGGGCTGCAGATTTGATAGTGGATTAGCCCTCAACATGGCCAGGGTCATGAAACAGGTATGAGGTCAGGATCATCACAGCTCGTCATAGTTGGCGGATTTTGATAGGGATTCAGAATTCAGTGTATTAGAGCAGGTCAGGCGATCAGCAAAAGCGCAAGTCCAACTCGTCATCCTTATGCAATCTCTCCAAACGACCTGACCGACATACCGACCTTTTGTTGGGCCCACACAACCTCATACTTAGTCAGGCCCCACCATTTCCCTTCCCTCTTTTGTAGGACACATAAATCCAAATCACTTCTTACATCTTACCATCCCTCCATCTCTGCCCCTCCTGGGCAACTTGAGCTGCCACCCCTGCTCCGCGCGCACGGGCGAACTGCCCAAGCCCGGCAACAGGCCCAGGAGGCCCAAGCTGCGGCGGGGGAAGCCAAGGGGAGCGTCCGAGCCGCTATCGCTAGGCGCCGGTGCCTCGGTGCCGATGAGAGACGGTGATACAGTGAGCTGCTCGCCATGGTAATAGATGTTCATAAATGATCACACGTCTTCTATAAGGTTTATTATTCATTGGTTCTCCGAAAACCTGACGCCAATGGAAGCCATATATGGAGGGGCCTGGCTCCCAACTTCCGTTTCGTGTTCGCGGAACAAATCACATTCTGCGTCTGCCGAATAGCCTTCGGCGCCAAAAAGGCAGGAGCCCAAAACAGGGCCAGCAGCCCAACGGCACGTCGCACTCGCTTCGCCATGACGTTTGGCCAAGGACAAGGTCTTGAGCCAGGCAAAAGAACAGGTGCAAACAGGGTCCACCTGCTGATCCCGGACTATCGCGCTTGAGGATTTGTTCTTTATAGTGTGTGTTCCTCTTCCTCCGAGATTTAGGGCTGGTGCTTTTGTGGGTTCTGTTAAGTTGAGAAGTCACTTGGGTTGAAGGGGCAGCCCATTCCTTGGTATCTCTGATCTCTGGACTTCTGTTCAACACTGCCTCCATCCAACCACCACTCTGACCACTCAGACCTCCCCACCCCACATCACCTCCGATCCCTTCGGAGCTTCGCACTGACCGACAGGTCCGGATGATTTTCACTCCAGCATCGAGGCTTGGCCTCCGCCCGGCAGCGCACCGAAGCGGCCCAGGAGCCGCGCATGCGCGTCCCGGGCGGCGCCACGCACCTTCGGACAATGGCGCACGTCAGACGGAGGCGTGATGCTCGGGGGAGGAAGGGGGTTTGGGTGGAGTTTGGGTGTTTTGTTTTTTGCGGTTTCACAAGAGGGAACAGGTGAAAGGTCTGAAAAGGAATCAAAAAGGGTCTGATGAACCGCAAGAACAGCTTCTTCTTGCGAACACATTTGGTACAGGAACTTCGGGGTTCACGGACGTTGGAATCGTCACCATTGAGCTGATGTTGGCACCAGTTTTACTTCGTAGTGTCCCAACAGCGATGTTATCCCCCTTGTAGCGAGTCACTGTCGGCAACTGGGTGATTCCTCCCAGAGCAAATCCTGTTTCATGGCCTTTCGTGTGGTGGTTTTTTTCCCTCAATTCCTCGTCTCTTCAGGATTTGGCACGTGGAGTATCACAGGCTGCGCCCCACGAAAATCATTATAACTAAAACCCACTGAACAAGCTTTTCCAAACCTCAAGATATATCTGATCCAGTCAATGTGGCTGAAGGTTTTCCATCCATTTCTACACGACTATAATATAGTCGAAAGTCTCACCTAAAGCCTTAAAGCATTCCCTGTCCAGCTTGCTGCCTTCAAACAACCAAGAATATGTTTCTTCCACCAGCCCCTTCACCATTGTTTTTGTAATGTTTTGTAGTTTATCTTTGCCGTTTAAGTTGCATATGTTCTTTGTAATACTTAGATAAACAAACACGCCTAGGGAACATATGGGAAAAGTATGGAACAGTGTATCTCGATTGGTTGCTTTGTGTGGGACAATTGGTTGGGCTGGGTTGGGTCAGTTTGGGTGTGCCTGTTCCCCACCGCCGGGTGACGTTCCGGTCCGTCGCATCCTTCTCGGCACGCTGCAGGAACTCGAGGGCCTCCGGGTCTCCTGAACGACCAAGGGGATCCATCGAATTCCACCCTATTAAACTGTATCGGCTGTCTCTCTTCTTGAATTAAACATAACAAATTCAAATGAAGGCTAAATGGAGGGTGTGGAGAAAGGGGGTCAGCAAAAATCGCTTGTACGAAGTTAGTGCATCAAAAATACCTTGCACGAAGTTCTGCGAAGGTTTCTGGGATTTCGTTGCAGTCAGTTCTTCTGCTGGCCCACCATTCCACGAACTGTCCACGAATAGCCTTGGGTTCTACGAATGTCCCGCGCCTTCCACGATGTTAGTAGAATAGGTTTTTGCAAACCCTTTCTGTGCACTACCCTTCCGTTTGCCTCTGATCAAAGGACCCTCCTGTTTTAAACACACACCTTTTTGTAAGGAAGAATTGACTTTGGGAGGGCCAGTATGCACTCAATTAGAGCAATTACAATTCTTACTAACAGTATAGTATGGTACGACGATTTGCACAGCAATCTCAACGGCTCCTTGATAAACATCCTTAATTCCTTTGCATCTCGACTCTACGTCACCCAAAAAACTTCAGCCAACTTCACATCCCAACATCCAACCTCCACAACCAGTAAAAAAGTCCGAAAAACACCAGGTTTGTCTCAAATCAACAGAACCCTCCAATAGACACAGAACAAACCATAAGAAGAATACCATCACCTGGTCACCCTAGACTTGAAAACAAGCTGATTCCCACCAACCAAAACAACGCCGCGCCGCCGCGCCACACATCACAAAACCATACTGTCCCTGCACCCTACTCCTACTCCTAACCCGCCCTGTCCCGATCCGCGCTCGAACCGCGCCCCACTCCTGGCTCGGCCATCCGCCCCACGGCACGCAGCGCGCCCACGCGCAGCAGCTCGTCCGCATCGCCGGACAGGTCCGCTGCATCGCGCCAGTGCTGCGAACCCACCGGGCACACACGAGCCAAGGTGTGGAGACCTCCCAAGGTGTGGAGAAAAAGGAAGAACAAATGGTTTAAAGACTGGTATAGAGATCTGACTCGATGTTGTATGATGTTGTAGTTTTTCAACAATATATTGTAACTGTTGTATGATGGTTTAAGTGTATATAACTGTGAACCAGCTTAAATATGTTGAAAGACTTCGTCCCTTAAGGGATGCCTATCAAAGAAGAACCAAGGGATGCTATCAGTCCAACGGAGCAAAACTCCACTTGTTCGAGTGAATGCAGCCTCATTAAAGGAAGAGGGGTCAGAGGTACACATGTGTTCTGTGTCGTGCGTGGTACCTGTGTTGTTGATATTTGTTCACTTGTTTTGTCCTCTGAGTCCTAAAAGCATGCAACAAGGAGGTCAGAATATCGGTTCATCCGTGATGGAAGTAGCTGGGCTTGGAGTGTTGAGAGTGATGCGTGTATACTAAGTTGCCGAAGTCAGAACACACAAAGAAGAATGTGGGAGTTGACATGAGGTGAGAATTCTTAATTGGATACTATACAATATTATACAGAAGAGAAAACACATCGGCACTTATTATTTTTGTCCCAAAGATCCATTTCTTGATGCTTTCAGTCCGTGACGGGAGCCCAAGAGCTTTTATGCCGCTCTTGTAGCTACAGGAAAGGACTTGTGAGGGGATGCTCTCAAAACGCTTGGATTGAGATTACCAACATTTGATTTCCACATCAAACACATCTTAAACCTGTTCAATAGCGTCTAGAGTAAAAGATTCCGTAATGGTTGATTCGTCTTGTCGAACATGTCGTTCCTGATAGATTCAGCATCTGATCGTCACACAGTGCGATGACTTTTCAGGCTCTGTTGATGCCCGTGTTTCGATGCCCGGACAGGTAAGACAATTAGCAGGTGATCCTCAAGACAATGAATGGGTGTCCATACATCCCACTCGCAACTGTCTACATCATCCTGGAGATTACTTACTACTTCCTGGGCTCCTGGAGACTCTCAACATCAAGCTAAAAACCGGTGAGACAATTGCCGCCTGCAAGCCGCACCAAGGGGTGTGGATCCTTCATGACATCCAAAGCTTCGGAAATGGCTTCAGCTCGATGGCTGGGGTCCTGTCGGGGTTGGTGTCTGCATGGCCCGCGGGGGTCCCGCGGGTTCGCGAAATGGGAAGGGGAGCAGGTTTGGGTGGTGCCCAGGCTCTAGGCCACATCAACAGTGGACTCTTTGTGAGGTTTCCTAGCATCGTTGCGGAGTTGGAACAATTTGTCAGTAATTGGCTCATAGCCCTATAGATAGTTTGGGTGGTCATAGTTTTTTAGCCTTGGCTCTAGCCTTGGCAGCCATCTTGGGATGGTGTTTTGCTGGCGTTGCGCATCCACCACCTGAAACCAGTCCATTTTGAGAACACTGCGACGACGAAGTCCTACGACTTCAAAGGACTTCCAAACCATGTCATCGAACCCAAGGTCTCCCCCCTTTTCTGAAAGCTCTTTCCAAGGGATTTCTGGGTCCATTACGCTCCTTTCGCCATCTTTTGCCCGGGTGCCCGGCGGTGCGATCTCTTCCTTCGATGCCCCGCGAACCTGCGTCGCGCCGTCGTGTCTCCGAACCTGCCCCGGGGCCGTCGCTCCTTCTCGGCCTGGGCGCCCAAGCGCCGCAGCGCATCCCGCCGTTGCTCGGCCGCGTCGGGGTGCGAAGCCTGGAACCTCGGCGCGGCTCCGTGGCGTCGCTGCGGGGACCCGTGCAGCACAAGTGACCTGTTTGGTCTCTGATCGTCTCTGGCTTGATGTCCTGAAGTATACACCCGCCTCGCCTCACCGTATTTCATGCTTCAGGATGACCCGAAAGTATCGAAGTGGAAATCCCAAGCAAATATGGAGCACCGGTGCATGAAGCCATGTATAAATCAATATAGTGAAGCCACTAGTGAAGCCTGCAGCCAAGCTTGCGAAGCCGGAATCCAGCGCACCAGCGACCAGCCCTCGACCAGGCATTCTAGACCAGGTGCTTGCAGCAAGTGCTTTGAGCTATGCAATTCTGCGCATCAATTGGTAGAGGCAAATCTGCTGGGAATGTCACTTAGGTTTACATCTTGGTCTAAAAGGTAGGGGTCTTGCGCAGCTTGCATGGGTGGCAGCCTCGTACCGGTGCTTCTTGGCCGAACAGGCTTCTCACATTTTGCCAGGTAGTCACAGTCGAAGATACGTCGAGTAGGATCACTGGATGCCCTTCACTATACGCACTATATGAAGAATTACTATGGGTTCAATACTTGCAGGATCAATACCATGATAGCCTCAACCCACTACCCGTAGGCTGTTTCTACTACCTCAACTTCAACCCACTACCACTGTATTAACCAGGATACTAGTGGACAACAATACGGTGGCTACCCTCACCAGTTCTATTCCTTGCCGAGCGGCTCTTGCAAGCCTTCAGTACCCGACTTGGAGATCACGCGAGAGAGCTGTGAGAGCACCGGCTCGCTACTGAAGCCTGAAAGAGAAACACTTGAGCAACAGCAGAACTTAGGGATTCCTTAAGACCCTTGGCCCTTCAACATGAACAAGAATCTACACACTTCAACATGCACAAAATATTTAAGGATCTTTAAATGGTGCTTAGCAGTCGTGTCTTTTTGCATGACCTTTTTGTACTGTAGGTGAGACTTCACCCTGGCTTCGCTACCCCTGCTCCGGTCAATCGTCCATGAACTTCTAAAACCTTCTCCATCCAGCAAGCAAGCTGGAGAGAGAGAGAGAGAGAGCCTCTTCTGCCCTCAGTAGTTCCAATAAGTTTATATCATTCATTCTGCCTCGTCACGCGTCAGCAAAGCTGATTGAACATAGAGGAGGATTGGACAAGAATCTGGTGGCTTGTGTGCAGGAGGTGGTTCATACCCAACCCAAACCGTTGTCAAACCATCGGTAGGCCCAACAGCCTCGGCAATGCTTCCGCGCACCATAACGAAAGACATCAGTGAGGTGCTTCCCCAATGACATGGCTTTCCAAGCACTTCTGAAAGTGAGAGTGCCACTTTCAACATGGGACCGTATGCATACCACCGTCATGCTATCTTATGCTCATGATACTATGTTACTGCATATGTTGGCCAAGACTTCTGCTCGTCACACAAACTCTCCAGACGAGGAGATGGCTTGGAGGGGTGAGACCGTATACCCAGACCGTGGGACGAGCACAGGACTGTCTCACCAGCACTGGGGCGGCGACAGGAGGTGACATGTTTTAAGGTCAACTGTGGGTGGCGACATCTTCTTCCGAGAAGTCGCCAAAAAGGCAACAGTTTCTCTTTCAACTTTGAGTGACAATACCCTTCACCCAATCATACAAAGTCGTTGAACTTTGTCAGTTTGTGGGCGATGAGATTCAAGTGGACTCAAAATAACATGACAAGTCCTCTTTGTAGTTTCTTGATCTTTCAAATGCAAGGTCAACTCTTCTGTTTTATATAGCCTGCCTATGCCTGCCTGCAGTTGGGATCACTCAAAAATGTATGGGTCTGTTGCGTTGTGCAACTGCTTTGCTTTTGGTGTCGCGAAGCGCGTGCCTCAGCATGCACAGTCCTCATCGTCCTCATCTTCCAAGCCCTCCTTAAAGGCCTCTGTTCTTTGGGGGAGTGCAACTCCAACGGCACTAAGTCCTAAGTGCCTAGGGCCTTGAGCCAAGGATGCGTCGATGCGTGCAAACACTAGTTCTCGACGTGCAGTGCATTACCGATGCACCTGATGAAGCTCTTCACTTCAACAAACAACTACAGTATACATCTTTCTCCACAACTTCTCTTCATGCATGTTCAGGCTGAATTCCTCTTCCAGCTGGAAGAAATTCGTCCAGAGCTGCGTGCGCCACACCTTCGAAAACGTGCAATGCCATCTAGCTTGCCTAAATAGCGCCCAAATAGCCACATTAAAACAACAAAAACATATCTGACAAAAGAACATTGTCAGGGCTGGCAAGTCCGGTTCGCAGTTTCGCATTCTCTAGACAGTACAAGTGCTGGGTGGCAGAGTAATTAATTTAATGCAACTCGAATTAACTAAAAAATACAGCTGGGTGGCTCAAGAACTGGCGTGCTTCACCAATGGCTGGAGTGCGACCAATAGCTTTGGTCTATCGTCTGCTTGCGAATGTGGTTCAAAACAGGTAGATTCCGAACCCATTCGAAAGAATAAAGCCTAAGTTTTGTCGAGAGAGAATATTGGAGCCACACTCATTGAACCTATCAACCTTACTCGGGGTTGCCAGGCACTCGGCACTCCCCGGTTTGAAGCATTCGCACATCATCACGAAGCTCACAGCTTGTCGAAACCAACTGGAGGCTGTACCTTATGATAAGATTTAACAAAAGGACCGTGTGACCACGGTCCAAACAGCAGCCGAAAACTTGCCAATGTCAAGGGAACAAACTGGTCAGGAATTCTTTCAAAAGACCCCACCATACCCCACCAATTCATGTCTTTTTGGGCCAAGTAGAACATGGCTTCTGCTGGGGCTGTTCTGATCTTCTGAGAAAGTCAAGAAACATCTCAGGAAGGCACTCGCATGAAGCCGGCGTTCACCTCTGGCACTCTCTTGCAGTCGACGACTGGATGGAATGGACAATACTGGGTCTAATGGGCTAGCAGGATACCAAAAGCCGCACATTGGAGCAACAGTGTTGCCGGTGGTCTTACATTCCAACACCAAGGCCCAGTAAGTCTGCCCCATATGTCCCGGCCATGTAATTACGCAGTCGCTAGCTTTGTGCTTTGTATTTGAAAGTGCAATTAATAATTTATTGGACTTACAAGCACAGTTTCCACCCACGATAGATGAATAATTCAAAGACTGGAAGAGAAATCCTACAAACGTGAATGTCTTGCAGTTCCACTTCTCCCCAAAATGGGATGATTCCTCCTTTCCCAGCATGACTTTAGAGCGCCTTTACTGAAAAGAAAAACAACGCCTGTTTTAGGTCTCGCCTTCCCGGGGTCTCATCAGGTCACCCGACCGTCCCGAACACCGACCCCTCGCCTTCAGAGATTTGGGGAAGGTCGCAATGGCCAAATCCGCCTCGCGGCGCGGCATCGGCGCGCACTCAGCCGGCACCAAGGACCGAAGAAGGCCGCTTTGCTAGCGTAACGTGCCGGTGCTACATGTAAAGGGAATAATTAAACACAGTCAGATTATGGGACAAGGACCTTCTAGTACATCATGGGCTAGCATATGTTAGCATCATATTTGGATCCTGTTGGAGCTTCGGTTCATCTTCTGAAACGTTGAGTCAATGCCGAACAGGCCACAGGTCGGGGCGGCCTCAGCAATGAACTGGTCCATGATCATGGCCTGAACGTGGCACGAACGGGGTCAGGAACGGGTTTGAAATGGTCCTGCAATTGCAAAGAGGAGTGATTCTCAAGACCAAGTGCACAGCTCAAAAGCTTGTGATATCATGGTACAGTAGCATTCCCACCTGTGTATGAGATGGGTGTGAGTCTGACTTCACTTCCCAGCTCAGGTTTTCACTCCGACCAAACCTCTAGTTTTGATTGAACAGAATTCCCAAGTTGTAGGACATTCAAATAGGGCATACCCCTGATACTTGTTGCCCTCCATATGAAAGCCAGCCAGGTCAGGGAATCGGGTTTGGTCATCCATATTATGCCGCCTCTGCACCGCATGGCAACAGTTACTGCCACACACCCTGTTTTCAACCGCATGGCAACAGTTACTGCCACACCCCCTGTTTTCAACCAGGTGCCTTGAATAGTAATAATATATCCCATGTAAAACTGAGCAGTCACCCGACCAAAACCTAAAACTGGTTTGTCTTCCCTCTCCTAGTTCGACAACCTTTAATCCCCCAAGATATGCAAGCACCTCATGTGAGGATTGCCTTGCTATCTTTGGGAAGGAACCACCAACCCCACCCAAAAGGTCATATGAACATCATGAATCATGCACCTCTAGTTCAGAACACCCATCATGGGTCCCAACATTCACCTTCTTTTTTGTTTTCTCAGAAACCGCACCGTTTGGCCGTTGGCTGCGCGTCCGCCCGCCGGCACCTGTGTGGGCTCGTCGGGATCCATTGAGTCCAACATGCGGAACATGTAGCGCCGGAACCTCCGCCGCTTCGCTGCCGGTCGTTATGCGCTCGCGATCCTCGTGGAATCGAGTCGTGGAATTGTCATATCTATATAGTGCTTGTTTCAGATCGGTTTTCACTTTTTTCCCCACCCTCTTTTTAACCCACCTTCTCAGAGGTGATCTCATGGCTCAAAGGCAATCCATAGAAACCCATGTGTTGAAAGAGACCCCTCAACTTCTCTGTGATGCAAACTGACCTTGGCAGAATTAGCGCGTCACGCTGTGTCCATCTTCATCTCTCACAATGACGGGACCGACGAATTCGCAACGCTTTCAACATGTGCATGAAGTCTCCAAGTCCCCGTAGCCTCCAAACAAAACCAAACAAACATCTCCATGTGCAAGCTAAACCATGCTGTAGCCTACCAGTATTGTTTGTTTTGCCATTTCCAGCAAAGATTTGGCCATCTAATTGCATAAGAACTATAACCTCTTCAAAATTCAACGGACCAACTTCATTCAGTTCCACCATTCCCGTGTTTGTGTCACGCACGTGACCCAAACACGGTGCTATAAGGTCGACCTCACTTCCATCCGCCTCGAGAAGGTGATGGGTCGGCCCTCCGGATCCAATTCGCTGCGGAAGATCTGCGAGAACCTGGAGCGGGTGGAGAGCTGCGGGTGGAGGCGGGTGAGCCACATCTGGAGCGGTTCGGAGTTGAGGCGAGAAGAACAGAAAACGCGAAGACGTGAGGCAACTGTTTGTTCTCCCTGCTGTGGTAGATGATGGCAAATGGTAGGTAGGTGGAGAATGTTTCAGGGAAATGTTGGCGCTCTCTTTCTGGTGTGAACTGCAGGTGCCCAGGGTGTTACCACAAATCTTAGGCCGTTCCTCCTGTTCTGTGCACGTTCGTCCTTTCATCCACCGCCTGCGCTGCGCTGCTGCCACGTCCGCGCCATGGAGGATGGCGATCTTTTCGTTGAGCTTGAGGAGCTCCGCCTGCGCGGTGAAACATGGCTCGCCTGCCGCTCGGGTGAAACCGGTTCGGCGAGTCGAGCTGGAAGAGGCACGGGGACCCAGCGAGAGGCTGGAACTGTTCTGAAGGCTCCTAAGGATCGATCATATCCCAAGGATCGAGGCTGTGTGTAAGTGTCAGTCTTACATCTCTTACAGGACGCTGATGAAAAGGTCTGGGGCTGCCTATGTTGCTATGCGTGAAACCTCAACTTTCCTGGAAAAAGACTACCCATTCTAATGAGAAGTCTGCAGCACAAACATGTTTCATGAATAGAATAGACTCAATGGAAGCATAAAGTCAGGCACACCGTTTTTGCACCCTTGGCGCATCATGGGCAGATCTTTGTACAAAAGAAGAGCCATGTGTGACTGGCTCCTCAAATTACCTGGCCGCACCCAGTCAAGCAAACACGGAGAGACGGAAAGACCGAGAGGTTCACCAGCACTTGGGAAAGACCGAGCCACGATTAGTTTTTGTTGGGGGGAACATGACGGGTCGTTGTGTGTTGGCACGTGCCAAATTTGGCTCTTGAACGAAATGTTTGGCATATAGATCTAGATGGTCCATCTGCAACAAACAAGGAAACGCGTGACTGAACTTTGGCCCACATACCAAGCTTGGATGGAAACATGATGAACAATGATGAACCACGGCACCCACTAACTTGTTCAAGGTACAAAGGAAGCTTATTGACGATACCGAGACATCTACTACCGACTACTGACTAATCCTCTCACAGTTTCTCCAGTTGCTACTGACTGCATCTAAAGTCATGTATATAAATATATATACATCAAGCAAGCATCCACCTTCTGATCAACCACTTCGTGTTTTCTTCATCACCCAAAGATCTTCTAGATCCAATCACTCAACCAAGACATGGCGAATCCACTTCACCCAACTCTTCTTGAATCTCCTGGTGGTCGAGCTTGGTTAGGCTGGGAGAGCAAAGGGAGTAGATCGTGGTCCGTCTCTCCGGTTTGGAGACCAGAAGACGGCCTCTACGTATAGGGTTTACAGTTTACGTTAGTTTGCTTCCAGTGGACAATTAACGTCAACTTTCTGGCCCAGGCATTTTCTGCCCAGGCATTTTTTTGGGTGGAGAAGATATGAGAAAACTATAGAACACCCTGGAAAGCCTTGCAATCACACCAGTGAATACAAAGGTCCCGACACCGTACCGTTGGACCTTGGCTTTCTCTGCCCTCATTCCAAACTTCAGCAATCTATTGAGCGGTTTGTAAATGCTTCTTCTTCTTCTGGTGACTCTAGTGGACAGGGGATGCACTATGCCGTGTTCACCTTAATGGCCCAAAGCGCATATCATGGAACTGCCGGAAAGAGTGTCCTTCTCTTCCACCTCCAAGTTCTCTTCTTTCACCTGTCAAGTGCCAATGGATAGTGGACAGGTGCTGGGACATGGAATCGCTATGCATGTCGCAGTTGCCTAACACATCAGGACCCCTTTCTCCGCACCAGCAGGTATGAGCAATTGAACGAGATTCCAACACGGGATTCCAGCACAGCGATTCGGGATGATCAATTTGGATCAATTTGGTGTTTTTATTCTCCTTTGATCTCCTTTGACTTTAGTATCGTCCGCACCAACCACTTCTCTCGTCTGCGCCTCTGGCAGCTGCAGAACGGGCAGTGAGATCCTGGGAGCTGCAGTGGTCGCCTGGCAGTGTTTCAACTCGGACAAAATAGGCCCTGTGGCCACCGACGCCATGGTCGTCTACAAGTCGTGCCGCAGCCATCCGCAGCCGCCGCATGTCGTCTACGGGGACACCCGGAGCCGAACATCGCATCGGATTCGTTCGGTGATCGTGGAGATGGGGAGACCCCATGCAGACCATCAAAGGGTATGGCGGGTATGGCTTCACAAATTTGGCTTCACCGATGGATTCCCGCAATTTTGCCGGTTTTTGATCTTTCTTGGTGAGTTGCTTCATGTTGACCCACACCCAGCCGCACAGCTTCCACACTCCACACAAAAGGACCCCAGTCACGCAGCTGCCTTCACCTCCACCTTCTGAGCCATCAAGACCTGCATGTTTTGAGGCTACGCATGTTTATGGGCCAAAAAGAGTCGACTTAGCCAGCTAGAAATTCCAGCAATTATATACCAGTAACAGTGGATGATGATGATGATGATGATTATTATTATTATTATATCCCTGAGGATCGAAAGTTAGCTCTATATGCTAACATTTGGGGTTGTGCCTTCTGGGGCTCTCCGACCTCACCCTGTGAGGTCCGACCTCAAAAAAACGAGATCATACCAGAACCCCAAAACCACAAAACCACAGAACCCCAAAACCACAAAACCAACGATCCCAAATTCAAATTCGTCACGGGTTGTCACGCTGGAGTCCGACAATGACCTCATCTTTTAAGGGACAAAATAGACCAATCACGGTCTGTCACGGTTCGTCACGCCCTGGTATGCTTGGCTCTTGGGATTTCATGGTCTTATCCTCCGACAATGATACTGGAATTGTATATGCATTTCAGGTACCCCAATCTGTGATTCGACAACGTCTTCAAATAACACGATCAATAGAAACGTATGCATATCCTGAGATCATTTCTATTTGTGACCTATGTGTGGTCATGGATCGTCAGGGTATATTATTATTATTGTTATTATTATTATGATGATGATGATGGCTAAAGGCCTTTACTGACTGTTACTTACTGGTAATGGGCTACACCCTATCGACTTAGCCATCTATACCTCAAAACAACTTCGCTGGCAATGGGGAGAACTGGCAGGTCACCTGACCTGTAAAAAGTCCTCGATTTTTGGCAACTTTCCGCCATCATAGGGATTGCTTGAGCTCGTGCACTCTCTTGAATCATGGCTAATGATGGGGTTTGTCACTGTCTAGAGCAAACAATTTGCAAAGCTTTTCCTCTGTCCAACCTCCCACCTTCCTGCGACCGGGCGCCTGTCCCCGGTGCGGCTCCGCTTCGGGGCGCCAGCGCGGCACCCGCCAGCGTTGCACGGCACCGTTGAGGGCGCTCAAGCGCTCTTTGAAGCGGGCACCGGTGAGGCCTGAAGGGCACAGTGAGGGATTGGAACATGTGGCATGAAGGATTTGATGAGATTTGATACGGAGAGAACTTGTTGTGATGGTATGGTTTGTTGCTGCTTTTGATTCTTAAGGCTTTGATTGGTGTGTCAATGCTGCAGTATGATGCAAAAAAAGACAAAGAGAGAATCAATGTATACTGATTAATTACGTTCACCATGTCCATCTCCCTAAATGTGCCTCCTGAACTTCAGGAACGAACATTTGACTGGCACCATAGAGGTTCTCAAAGAGGACGCAGCGTGGCTTGAATCTACCTCCCCAGTGAGAAGAAATTTTTAGAAGAAACCTCTCTTTGTCATGCCAGGTGACAGCACTAGTGTGAGCCCACATCACACCTCTATATAAATGTCCCAACATATTATTTCCACAAAAGAACAGCCCAAGATGAGAATTCAACGGAACATGCCCAACAAAAACCTGGTGCAATCCTACCCACAGGCTCCCTCCTCTCTTCCCCGGCGAAGAAACTCTCCTCGGTCCCTCAGCCTAATCGCTTCAGCTGCTCCTCGGAACGCTTGCGCTTGATGCCCGGGGAGACCAACGAGGTCTCTTGGATCAAGTTGCCCCAGCACCTCGGCGCCCGTTTTTCTCTTTTGTTTTGTGCGTTTTCTTTTTTTGAGGGTCCGAACGGACTGGGAGGAGAAATGAAACTTGAACAAGTACAATATTAGTAATTATATGTTGTTCTTAATTAATATACATTATCATATAATCAATGTAACTTATGATATCAAATAATGTCAAAGAAGTTATGTATAGAGATACCAAAAAAATCCCAAAAAGGACATCTTATGAAATCTCAACATCAACACCTTGCAGGGAAGCAAACTCCCTTTCAAACCCAGCTATGCCAAACAACAAACCCAATCCTTTGGTGAAGCTACAAACTGACCTAAACATACCTGAGCTATTGGCCAAACCCAAATATACCTCTGCAATGAGCTTCAAAAGTGGCCAGTTCACTGGCCAAACATCCAACATGCCCTGCATGCCCATCTTCCTCCGCGCCAAGGCTCTGCCCGGCATCCGGCTCCAGCACAGTGACGCTGCCGCGGAGCCGATTCACTTCTCCCACCGTCTTGGCATGCGAGACCTGCCCCAGCGCGCGCAAGTTCCGCGCGCGCGGTACGGCGCGCGGGACGGAAGAACGATCAACACTGAGAAAAGCACGGATCAAAAGGAGATGTGTCACATGTTTTTTTGATTCTTTTTCGGTATGGTGTGAACTGTTCCAACATATGGTACGTGCCAAGTGATCTTGTCTAGAGTACAGATAGAAATTTATTCTTCAACTGCCCTCTGCCATGTTGCTTCCACGCAGATTCTTGCAAATGTTGGTTTACCTTCTTTGTACCCTGCTTTTCGGCATCACTGTGTTCTCTTGATTGCCTACGTATCAAATTCTATGCAAAGTAACAGTGAGTTTGAACTGCTCATAAAGGGTACCCATCATAAGCCCTTGGCCCTCCTTCATCCTGCCCGAGAAAAACTCTGGGCTGGGCAACATATTTACCTGAACTGACTGAAGATCTGGGTCAAAACAGTCAACAAACTGACTCATCAACACCTGGGGAGGCAAACCACACAAAAAACGCACAGTCGAAACGTTCCTCCTCCACCCATGGGACGACTGCCTCAAAGAGCTTTAAGGCCTGGCGAACCCCATGGCGGACAAAGCCATGCGCATCATTTACGAGGTGTTGAAAGACGGGGGGTCGAAAACCATCACAAGAATGGGAGCAAGACCGCAGGACTACCCAAGTGTCTGACCCTAGGAGGAAGCTTCATGTGAATTTGATTCAGGAACACCTCACCAAGAGCAAGCTGATGTTCAGCCGGGTCCTTTTTCTCGATCCATTGAAATCCGTCGAACAAAAAGTCTCTCTTCAGCAAAGAACCTTGCATTCACCAAAGCCAGGACAATGCTTAAGTTTCACGATTCATAGATATAATATGATAGAATCTTCTAAAGGTTGATCTATCATGATCTATATAACTAGCTCCTGAACAGGCTCCCACTCAAAACCAACAGGGTGCAGCCTGACAGTTGAACATTGTCTTTCAAAGTCTTCCAAACCTCCCTCTGGATCGTTTTACGTTGTCTTGTTTCTCTTTCCTAGAGGATAACCAATCAATCTCTGGTCACAATTAAGTCAAACTAAAGAACGCCAAAAACCACCATGAAATTCGCGTGAGTTCTTCACATTCCCCCAGGGTGATCTATTGAATTAGCCTTTCACTTGCCCAGTGTCTGAGCACCGCCCCTTTTCAGCACTCCGACCTTCTGGCTCCGTGTCACCACCTGATGAGTCGAAGAAGCGACTGGATTTGACGACTGACGCGACTGGGTCATTGGGCCAGAGCAACTGCTCAAAGTTTGTTCCATCGGACGTGACGTCAGGGTTTGTTCAGGACGTCGAAGGGTTGATTTCGCAAACCAAGCCCTGGATGTGGGAGATCATGTGGGCCCACCCGTTTGGGCTTGTGGAACCCACGATCTGAAGGCCATCCAAGCCATTTGTGGACGTGCGGGTGGGAAGACAGGGCATGACACGGCATCCCTCCAAAATACCCAGCGGAAAGTTGGTGAAGCCTCGTGAAAACCCGCCAATTCAAGAGAGAAGTTAAAGAATTGAATCTTAAGAGGCTGCTTAGTTCAAATCTCCAGCGACAGGCGAGTTGTACCATACCTAAAATGAACACATGGTACTGAAGCAAATCAGAACATTGGGTTCTACGCAGCAGGGCTAGTATTGAGAGATTTGCTCCTTTACAAAACCACGCCCCTAAATGAATAGACTGGCTACTCTGTCGTTCACACTTGGAACAACCATGCAGCCTTACCAGGAGAAAGATGAAGCCGAAGGTGATGTTACAAACCGCTCACCTGAAGAGTTGTTCCCTGTACTTCCTTGGAACGCTGACAGCCGCCTTTTTGTTTGGCACGTTACTGCCACATGGCCGGAAAACCCACCCAGTAAATGGGATCACCCTGACAGTGACTGGGAAGCATTCGGACGCTTCTTTCAAGCGCTTTCGTGGCAAGAAGGCGATTCTTTGCAAATCTCGTACGCCGAACTTGCAGTTTTGTTTGTTGTGCGTGGCTACAAATGCCACGTCATGATTGATGAACATTGCACATTTCGGCAACTCATTCGTTGGTTGCAAGGGCGCATTTCGTTTTGCCGTCGGAAGCTCGACTTCCCTTTCCACCCTGGATGTCACGTACTCGTGGGGGAAAACAATGCCCTCTGGAGTAATCCGAGGAGCTGCACCTTTCTTTTCGAACTTAGAGTTACAGCAGCTCACTGTCATAACCCAAAGAGTTTCGGGACAGTGTCTTTCAACGTGAAATTTTCCCTGTAGCCCATTTTGCACTTGAGTGCGGTCTTCTTTTTGGTTTGCACCCTGGGGTGGGTGCCTTTGTGTCCAACTCTTTTGCTAGTTAGTGGAACGCTAACAGCAATGCTCGTCTCAGACTTCGCGAGCGCGGGAGGTAGAATAGAGTTTATTGCACGACATAATGATTCATCCACTTGGGATTCCCTTCTATTGCCCATGTCACATGTAGTACCCTTCCAAATCATTACCACATGTTCACGGATTCCCGCAGTCTCGCCATCTCGCCCCCAGCCTTCCCAGGAAAGAGCAGCTCTGTCAAGGTCCCCTGCTCTGCCGCCTGACTGCACTCGAAGAGAAGCTTATGCACTCCTGGGTAAGTGCACTTGGTGTGCTTGCAAGTGAATTCTGTCCCCACAACTTTGAATTTGACCACCACATCCATCGTGTTCACTTGTGTTCACCCACTACATCAACCGACTCTACATCAGCTGGGCCCCCCCCAAAGTACACCGAGGCGGGAACCCCGGCATCGCGGATCCCCCCGGCCTCGAAGCGCATGGCTTCATCCACACTGCTGGAGAGCCTCCAGGCCTTGAGTAGATCTTCACCTTGTGTGCTTCCGCTGTCCCGGCGCCGGTGAACACCGAAATCATGTTGTAAAGAAATCACCATAAAGCTACTGAGTGATTGGTGTTTGGGGGTATTTCACTGTTTAATGTGTTCATCTTGTAAGGCGAGGACATCATATGTTTTGTTGCAAGAAATTAGATTTTTTTTGTGTTTGACTGGCTCTGATCCAACAAATCTCAGAATGGAAGAGAACATCATTTCAGAACTACAAGGCACTTGGCACCTAGAGTCATTTCGCAGGGAGTACCCATGAGTACCCAAATACCCTGCATCACTACTCCAATATTGGGCAGGTCCGATACCCTCAGACTTTTCATGCGAATTGCTGATCGCTGCATTTTTCAGGGCCGGTTAGGGTGGGGAGAATCCAAGCCACCCAAACCCCTCACCACTGCCACGTGACCATGGCCATTCACTTGGATAAAGAAGACCTTGTCACCTTGGCATGTCATGCAGTGGATGCAGGTTGAGCTGTTGGTATCGCTTGGCTTACAAAGCGCGAAGATCGCGAAGCACACAAATACTGGGTGCTTCACTCCCAAGCCTTCCAAGACAAACTACATCAAACTGATTTTGGACGACAAACATACAGAAACATATACAAAAACATCACAAAACCATTCGATGAAGTTCGACTGTGTTGGGTTCACCACGCGACAGAGTCGGATGCATTGGCCATGAAATGAGGCCAGGCCGCTGACAAGGCCGGACTTCCGCACATCCCACTGGAAGATGCCACCTGTAACACCGGCATCGCTGCAGCCAAACTGGGGCGAAACATGGCATAGGAACAGACTGAAACAGACTGAACTACTTGGATCGTAGATCCGCTGTCTGGTTATTGATTCGGAATTGCACTAGATTCACCAGATGGTAAGTGCTTTTCTGCACCGAGATTACATTCCGGAATGGTGCATTGCTTCAAATTCAACTGAATCAAACCCACCCACATTGCACCTTTGGGATAGAAGAGATGATAGAATGTAATGATAGTTATACAGTTATACCTGTGACTCCTCACTTGTCTCAAATGAATATAACTCTATACTATATAAACGTTTTATGCATTGCTTCCAGCCCATGACCTCGAAACGGTACCGGTACCGTCGTCTAGACGTCACGACGTCACGTGGAGGGCTGGCCGGCAGGTTGAACATGGCTGAGTCTTCCATTAAGCGTAAACAAATCTTGGGAAATCCGCCCGAAAACTGGACCATTGGAGGAACATCAATTTGCCTTTCCTGAAGATCAATTGATCCCAGACACAGTCCTCGGGCGCTATTCTTCGTACATCTGGCTGTTTTTTTGACCTGAGAGAGACCTGACAGCTTCAGGGTCATTGTCCTGTATGTCCTGACATACTGATATCTAGTCACTTCCAAATCTTTCTCATTCTCCGTAACTTCAAGGATGTCATCAAAGCAATCGACCAGGTACCTCACCAAACGTCAACCACCAACCATTGCACCCTCTGTTACGAACCACTCATGGAGGGTCCTTCCCCACGTGTCAGCCCGCAGTGCCTGTGCGCAAGTTCAAAGGCCGATCTTTAAAGATCTGATCCAAAAACTTGGAAAGTGGAACTTGATGATCTTGAATAAAGGCGCTTGAGTCCTTGGGCCCACACAGTCACGCCATAAAGAACAAAGAAACGTGTCTCTCAGGGACTTTCCCTACGCCCAAAAGGAGTTGCGTGGTTTGCCAGCGGCAGAATGAACAACACGAGACCCGAAGTCCATTTCAACACCTAGACCACGAATGACCACCCCCATGATATAAACGAACATGGACCAATGGACCCTGAGAATTGATTGACCGGTTTCGTCCATCCTCTACACCCCAGTGGTTCGGGGATTCCACGGTGCGAACAAAAAAAAACGCGCCGAATCGAAACGCGAATCGAAACGCTCGTCTTCTTGAGCTTCAACGAACCCCAGAAGACGTCTTCCCCAGCAAGGCTCCATGTAGAGCAGCCATCCACAGGTCTCCTTCCTGGCCTCGCGACGCAGGACGCGCCGCCCGAACACGTCGGAGAGCTTCTCTGGCCCAAACACGGAGGTCTTGCGGGAGATCGATGGACGTCTCAGACCGATCAAGACCGATCAAGAGCGACACGTTTTGGAACTAACATGTTGGGAAGTGGAGCTCACCCCGTGTTTGGATGTGTTTGGTCTTCGGGTTCAATGGTGGTCCGAACGAAAGGGGCCATGCCCTCCACGTAACCATCTTAGTTCCAGGGAGAAAAGTGTCGTAGCCTCCAACAAACCAAACACGTATCAAAGGAAAACATGACCAACTTCTTGACCTGGTGCTTTCTCTTTCTCCTGCGCCTCTACTACTACCACCTGTTCAAAAGATGTCAAAAGCATTGCCAGGCCTGTGCAGCTTGCAGCCGTTCCAGGACCCAGGGCACTCGGTACCAGCTCTCCGCTGGCCGCTGCGACCAACCTAGGTCGGTGTTCTGAAGCGAGTCGGTTGGGTCCGTCCAAGAGATTGAGACCTGCGCCAGGTCTGCCTAGTCACCCCCACATGAACGTGGGAAGAGTCAACTATAATAATACTGGTTTAATACCGGCAAATAGAAACATCTCACTCAAGTCTTGTTGTCACTAGCACGGCATGAGAGAGGTCATTCCCCCAGAGTTGCGGTTCCTTGGGGTTCATTCCCAGGTTTACTCGACTCAACAGTCCTTTCATCCAACCAACGATCCATGATCCACCCATCGTACCCCTAGGTCCGACGTGCTGCCGGCAGACTCTTGGGCTCCGCCTCTGGCCGTGCCAAGGTGAAGGCATAGCCGTGGCGGTCCGCGTAGGCCTTGAGAGTCGAACATTCTGGGGAATCCCCGTCCTGGACTGTTGTTTAATCGGTGAATCGGTGACGTTCGTGAATCGGTGAATCGGTCAATCGATTTCGGTTCCTGGTACTAGTAGGAAGCACTCTCCTCAAATCGCCTGAGGCGTTCATCTCTCAGTCAATATCTCTTCACCTCCCGTACGACCTTCATGGTGGACTGAAGGGTGCCAGCAACTTTCACCGACGAGCCGGCAAGTGTCACCAGATTGCTTTGCAAATACCACAAGAAAAGCCCCTAGGGCCCAAGGGAGTGCAAAGGACACCTTTTGAACTCAGATAATGGAATGCATGCGCTCAGCATTTTGTTTGCGTGCCTAAACTTGAGCTGTAAACTTGAGGCTTTTTTGTTCCCATCGCCTTCAAGCAACCTTTCACATAACCATACATAACCCAAAAACTCCATGTCTGTCATAGTTATATGCCTCCATTGACCCCTCAAACCACCCCAATGTAGGTACAGTAAATATACCATACATGGAGTGTCTGGGTAACATCTGGAAGGTTAAAACAGTATCTGATCCAAGCCCGAAAACTGTGGAGCTGAACTCCGTGTATCTCCAGCCACCTCTGTTTCTCTGAAGATGCTGCCAGCATCTGCCAGCTTGCCAAAGCATGCCAACATGATGTTTCTGAAGATGGCGGAAATTTGTTTAACATCTTGAAGATAAGATGTTCAACATGATGTTCTACTAGGGACACCAGGCAGCGCCAAGCAGGCTCTGCTGCAGTGAGTTTCTCTGTGCACCCCACAGGCCTTGTTGAGGACAGCATTCATTGACCAAAAAGACTTGGGATTGAAACTGCTTCCCATCAGTTGCTTCTCCTTAGAGACTGGCTTCAAGGATGCTGGCTGGCAATTTTTCAGGAGTACCGGAGTACCTTATCAACAAAGAGAGGCCTCAACTTAAAATACCTTTCAGCCGAGTGCCGAAAAGTAGCAAGCCAAAAAGAATTGTCGTTGACTCCGCAGTTTGCGGCTGGTCGAATGGTCTTTAAGTTTTATGACAGTCAGTCAAAAAAGTGAAAGATAGCAGGCCTGGAGGCTATTTGACCCAATTTTGGCATGGTTTGGTGATACCGGTAATCGAACGTTTGTGTCTTTTGGAGCAATTTCCGAACTATGCACAAAGAAAAAACATCAAGAACCTATGAAGGCATGCACAGTGCTCACCCCAGAAGTTGTCTGGTCTTATCCAATGCACAACAAACCGTCCAAAACTGCAATAGAGGAACCTCCCTCGAGGGTGCGGGTCGAGCTTCTAGCATGACGATCTCAAACATGCAGCCAGCGAAGCGATCTCCTGGCAGTGTGACCCATCTCTCTGGGAACCCTGATGCGTGATGCTTGATAGAGGACAGCAAACACACCAGCCAACACTTGCTTGAAATTGGACAACACTGGCATATAAGCAAATGTGACTTCGGATTAGAACCCATTGATGCAATTCCACAATGCAGCAAGAAACACAGCCAGCATGAATGTTTGCGTCTGCCGAATCTCGAGACGAGTCTCGGGCAAACAAACGAGGAAAAGGATTCTTGAATATGTTTCCACTTCACAGCTTTTGACTAGAGCATACACTCACCCTGGCATACGAATACGCTTAGAGTTGCAGTATCTAAATATATAAGATTATACCAATGCCAAAATGTCCAAGAAAGATCGTAATCATTGCAAAAACATGACACTTTCTCAGTGGTGTCAAAGGACATGCTTGCTACTGACAAAGGCTGCTCCTGACAAAGGTTGCTGGGAGCGAACATCCAAGGCTGCCACAGTCCCCAGCGCCAGCGCCCACCATCCGCAGCACTGCATGCGTCCGACGCCTGCCGTTCGTCCAACGCTTCACTGGGGCCGACCTGGGGAACATTGAGGAGTGGAGCGAAAACCAGTTATCAGTAGCTTCTTGTTAGGTATAGTAATTATGGCCTCCAACCTACTAGCGATGGCCTCCAAGCATAGCGTCCTTGCTACTAGCGTAGATGGACGAAATATTAAAACCCTTCTAACCACGTGGACCCCTTCCACCCCAAGACTCAATGTTAGAGATCTTGCCAGAGTGTTTCGGCGAATGGACGAACCAAATACAACCTTGGAAGCACATACAATCAAGTCGTGTTCAAAATTGACCTTCGGCCGTCAGGGGTTGATGACAGTTATTGACTCAAGGGATTGAATATTTGGTCCATCTACTGTAGTAACTTTTTGATAGTAACACGATGCGGAGATTAAACATCTGAAAAGCCGATCATGTACGAGTCACCAGCGAGTCAACAAAAGAAGTACTGGAAGCACCGCTCAACAATCGCTGCTGGTGGTTGCAGGGTCTTACCAGCGTTTCTGAGATTCTGATGCGCAAAGTCTGGCACCATCACAATATATCACAACCGCAAGGCCAAAGCGCCTTTCTTTCTTGCATGTACCGAAAGCACAGGTACTTTGGAAATGCATTATAGCAAAAACATAATCGTATATGGTTGTGACATCTTGTGCAAAAAAGACTCACTAGTGATCTAAGCAAGGGCTGCCTGATCTTTGTTCCAATGTTCAGTGGAAGAAGGAAACCGCAGCATACTTCGACGGTTGACAGAACCACTCCAAGGACCCATGTTACCCATGATGCATGTTACTCCAGACGCTTGGTCATCAGTGCAGCGCATGTCCAAGATTCAGTGGTATCAGGTCATATCAGGTCGTGAATTAGCATGGGTGAGGCATGGTGAGGCTAGGAACTCGGGAGATTCCCCCTAAGAAAAAACAATCAGTGCCAAACAATCTCGTACAACAAGTTGTGGAACAAACTCTGACTTCTGAGGACTCAAAAGAAGATTCCCCTCAAGAACTCAATGCTACAGGCCCCGCTACAAAAGGCTATACTCTGACTCACTACCATGGAAGTGGAGAATGGCCCCGAAAGGAAGACTACGAACGAAACAGGGGGGTGAACCGGGTGAACTCCACTTCCTGTGTGACACTCCGAGTGTACTCAACGGGCCAACCGACCACGGCTCGCGAGGTCCCGGCCTGGCCCCCCGCAGCGGGGCCGGGCGGTCTGCTTCGTTGTCGCCTCGGAGAGACCGACAGGTTCCGGAACCGTCCGAGGCAGCGGACGCTTGAGCATGTCAGAGGTGAGGTATTGACCAGATTCATCGGAATTGGAATCTGAATCTGACATAATCTGATCCAATTCATATGTGAGTCACAGATGAATTGGTGAATCCATCCAATTCATCCCCAAATTCCTTCCAATCGCAACCTTCGATCCTTCTCCAAACCTGGCCTTCGTCGGACGGCATCCTCTCGGCGCTTCGGTGTCAAGACGAAGGGAGTGGGATGACAAGTTGATGACAAGAGTCAAGAGATTCCCTAGGGCTCCAAGTACCTTCGTTTCGAAGGCGTTTGAGATGGCTTTGGAGGGTCCAGTCATACCTTCTGAGGTACGACTGGAGCCCTGGGGATTGTCAATCGGTCTGATGTAGTAGATCACGAAGGGACAGGGATGGAAGAGTCAATTCATGGACCTGGCAATTGCTGGACACCACACATACACCGCTCATGGCCTCCTCTATCCTCGTATCCTTTTGTAAGGGGACTGTCTGCCACCAAGCGTCCCACGGCCAAAATGGCTCTGGGGCTGTCATTTGAGCCCAAAGGACACCAGGCGCTTGAATGACTGGTGGAATCAAGTCCCTTTAGTCTGCAGTATCTGGGGTCCCATCCACCCGTCAGCGTTGTACAAGTGCCAAGGGGTTTAACATGTTGTTAACACTCATGGTGCGCATGGGGGAGTTTCGGCGCAATTTCAGCGCACACACACTCTATACAGTACAAAAGGAGCTTTCCACACATCCCTTCTTTCAATCACTGCAAATCCCATCCAATTTTACCGAGTACCCTGCACGACCTATCCACATCTATCAAATGCCCCAGGGATATCCAAGCTCCCAAGAAACAGGAAGGTTGCTGGCTCCCTGTCAAATGGCTTCAATTGCCTCCTCCAACATACCATTCTGGTTGAGATCTTGCAAGCGGAAGAGCTCCTGGACCCACAGAGATTCTTTGCACAGGGCCATGGCTGGTCAAAGACATATACCAACTCATCTACAAAGTATCTAGCTATCCTGCGTTTCTCTAAGTTTCTCTAAGAGTTTTGGGGTTATGACTGTTTGATTAGACAAGGTATCCCGCCGATGCACCTGCATCATCTCCTCCATCCGTTTGCTTCGAAGGCCTCACGACACATGTTCCACACGCTTTGCCGTGCAACGCCACTAGTAGCTGCTTGCTACTGGTAACAAAGGGCATCGCTACTTACTAGGAACAAGGGCATTACTACGGCATTACTACTAGCAGCAAGGACGCTACTATAGTAGCTCTTGGCCTTACTAAAGAAAGAACACCTCCGTCCATGCAAGCGCTTGCGTACTCGTTTTTTAGAAGAGAATGCGCGGGTTCCACATGTTTGACCTCGCCGATCGCCTGGGCCATAACACGGGGCGAAATCGCTCAGGACGTCCCCAAGGTCACCCTTGAACTTCACACAGTCCGCCAGGAAGAGACTTGAACCCACAGATCCCATGGTCAGCCTCAGACATCGTCGGCATCGCATCGGTTCACATGTTCCGGAACCTGTTCCGAGAGGACACGCGGCCCGGTGGGTCGCCCACATGTGAGGTGCGGCCCGGTGATTTGGATCATTGAGATGATGAACATCGGGGCCAAGGGTCCACGTATGATCACATCAAGTGAAACTGGAGTGCATGTCTGAAACAAGAAGGCGATGTCTTCACAGCACCGGCAAACCGGAAGAAAGCCATGTGTCTTGCATTGGCGCCTAGCAATATCAGAAAAAACAATAAAAACGTAAATCTCTGGACGGAATCACGGCCGGCCTCGTTCTTCACTCACCAGCTGGTCACCAGCTGCGCTGCTGTGCTCAGCCCCGAACCCCAGAGATGCGCTGTTGTGCTTGCCGTGTTTTTCAAAGGAGGGGAGTCGTTGAGTTGAACAAAAACATCTCTTCTCAAACGGATGTGAGTCGTTGGATTTCCCAAACCATTCTATATAGCGGAAGAATCTTAGAGACCGGGACCCCGTCCTTATCTGGCACGTCGTCCACATCTGCACTCAATCTGACTCTCTTCGTAGGGATGGAACATTTTCGGACCCCTCCTGCCTTCAACACATCAGACTATGGGGCCTTTTGAAGCATACTAAGTAAGTTGGACTTTGGGTTAGCCTTCCGACAGTTTTTGTTGGATTTGTTTAAAAGATGTTCATCCAGTGGATCCAGCTCTTGGGCCCAGAATCCGCAGCCATGCGCAGCTGATCCAAGAAATTCAGCTGCTCAAAGGAACACTCATTTGGTTGAAACATGTTGAAACTATGCTGAAGCTTCTGCTGGCGGGGGCCCTCAGATAAAGATAGCTGAGAAATGGCCAACAAATGCCAAAAACCATGACACCGTTTCGGTATTTCGAGCAACAGGGGGGTAGGATTTGGCGTTGAGTAACATACCAAGATAAAAAAGAGTCATTGAACAATGAAGAAAACTGATGACGGGCTCCACGAGAAAACCGGGTCCCTCTTCCCAAGCTCCCCGAGTTCAACATGAAGGTGATAGAGTTATTCTATATACCGGCACCCGACTTCACAGGTCACCACCTGACACGTTTAAGTCTCCAAATGCTACCAGAGACCTGTTGAGTCGGGTGCTGGTATATATTGTATAAAAATACTTTATACCGTTCGCCAGCCTTGTCTGCAGCTTGGAACATCAACCTACCAATTTGGTGGGACAGTCTTCATGCCTCCAGAAGGCTTGCCACTCTTGACAAGTCTAAAAAGGTGCCCAGTGCAGCCCCTGGATGCCCCTGGGTCGTGACCCACCTGGAGCCGCGAATGAGACCGGACCTCGTACCCGGTCGACCTACCGTTTGAGGGCACGTTTACCACACCAAAGAGGTCTTAGACAAGTGGAGGTCCATATAGGTCCACATCAAGACCACCAAACTTGGGGATTGTGCCATCTACTTTGAAACCACAGTATTCATCGCTTGATGGGAGGACGGAAAGGCTATCGGCTATCGTCTTCAACACAGGCAAATCTTCCAGTTTTGAGATGCAACCAAGGTCTTCAACTTCAACCTCATCCGGCTCGACCACACTGATGCAAGGTTTCAGCTTCGTAGTTATAGTAGTGATGACACTTTGGACAATGGGCGCAGCTTCTTCCCCAAAGAATCCCAAAGATATGGGGTCTGGATGGGTCTGGGGTCTGCCCTCTGCCTGGTGTCTGCCCAGTGGCTCGCTACTCAAGACACGTCGTCCCAACGAAACAGTTCCGCCGTCTCACCAAGTCTCCGTCGCGCTGGACTGTTGAGGTCAGGGTCCCACACAGAACGCCGTTCCGCTTTTGTACCTTTCCAGATCCATCTGACATCTTTGACTCCACTGGCTCTTGGAGCTCTGGAGGTTTCAGCCATTTTTCCAGGCGTGCAAGGTTCCTAAACTTCCTCGGTAAGCGAGCTGAGAACAGCTAAAACTACACTCACCACTGGGCCGGATGCTCGGATGCGCAAGTGGGCGCTGTCCCAAAAACAGAATACAGGACAGGAGATGTCCCCTTCATCCTGGACCTGAACATCTTACTTTGCGTACCATTGGATTTGGATGCATGTCCGTGGTTCCGACTCTTGGACAGGACTCCCCACCTTTCCCGCCCACGGCGCGCCGTCGCGAGACATCCTTGACAGAAAACGCTCGTCGTCGGCCCGGTGAGTCTTCCATTGCTAAAAGTTCAGCTCGAGCATCGCTGGGTGTGGCCAATTGGCTGGGACTGTGGAGGTTTGGCCAATTCGCTGAGCGTTCTGAAAGCTGATTGAAAAGCTGTGCAGGTGGGTGCTAGAATTCTGTGAAAAAATAAGGCTGACAAGCAAGGCTGCAGCACTGAGAGAAAAAAAAAGGACGTCTTTCGGTCTGTGAGTTCACCCTTTGATCTCCGGGCCGTCCGAGTTCTTTCGGGTCTTCGGAAGGTCGGTGCCCCTTCACACGATAGAGGCGGCGCTCCGCGCCCGGGGATGTACCGGGTTCACACCGGGAGGAGCTTTGCAAAGGACTGACCATGGACTGAAGCGACTGAGGCCACAACTGAGAGATTTCACATGAACCCAAACATCCCAAACCAACTTGCCTATGCTTGAAGTGGTTCAAATGGTTCTCTCAAAGACTGCAATTGAACTAACTAAGGCCCAAGAGAGTGTTGCGAAGTAGTCCTAGTTTGTCCCAGTTTGTAGATTGATACTGATACAGCTATATAAAATCACAACAACAAATTGGAGGCAGCTTCAAAACCGCAACGGATGCCGAGCTACAGGCTGACCTCGAAAAGCCGAGGAACAACCACCCCGCCGTTTGTCAACAAAGCCGTTTGCACTCCAAAGCTCGATTGAGCAGGTTCTAAGCTGGCAACATCTACTGAAAACACGAATATGGCTTTAATGTATATATAACATTGATTAAACCCCCTTAAGCTTAAACAGGATTTCCAAATGAGGAGGGTTATTGATCCTATTGGCGGAACATGGGTCAAAACCAAGGGACCCTAAACCCTATGGCGCTATGGCTATGGGTCGATTTCGGTGGCTTGGTGGTGTTCGGCTCCAGGTGTTGGGCGTTTGCCCATCCCTTTTCTTGCTGCCTTCAAGACCAAAAAAGTGTCCTGCCTGGAATGCATGCACGTTGTTCATCCAAGTCCGAGCAATTGCCCCATCCACGGACCATCCGCCGGGGCGAAAAGCACAGGTTTCCAGTCGAGGAAGGCCTGTGTGGTGCCTTTGGGCTCGTCCACGGGAGTCCCCTTCCCGAAATCAAGGCATCAGCTGTGACTCTGGCCGCATCACGACATTGCTGCGTGGGTCTTCCAAGAAAAAAGGACACACCAACTTCCCAAGGAAACCGGAAAGAGGCTATTGGAACATATTGGAACCCTCTCACGGAAAATCTTGTTGTCTCACTTGCCGCAACCGATAACTTGCTGGTTGTGACCCCCCACATAGGTACAAACCAAAAGTCACTGGTTCCTCCACTACCCAGAGCTGTTTTATGATATTCAATGGCAAAATCACATCAGCATTGAGATCTTCATGCGCAACACTCATGTACAAGCAAATAGCGAGAAACACAAACCACCATGCAGCAGTAATGTCCAATAGGACTTCTTGACCAGGTAGAATTGTAACATGGGGGAGGCAAAGGATAGTTATATGCTTCAACGAAATGGATTTTAATATCAAAACGAACACAAAGGATCTCCACCGCCTAGGAGCAAAGCCAAGTCTTAGATGGTTGCTCGCAAGAGCTAGGATCAGAATGAAGTCCCACTTTACACGCATTAGCCCTTGACTGAAAAAAGCGCAAAAGGAAAGGTGGTGGGTCCGCGGATTTGAAGGTGTTAGTTATAACAATGTTTTTTGGACTGGACTGCTGGAGGCCTTCGAGTTGGTTAGAAATTCGAGCAGGTACACAGAGCTGATCAGGCTTTGCTTCCAGCACAAGTGGATAGCTTCGTTGGGTGCAGTCTCCACTGTGCTCTGCACCCCCCTGCCTTGTTGAAATTACTTTGAAACAGGTGTGGACACACACACCAGGCCGCTATCGGCGCTCAGGAAGTTTAGTAATCACCTAACAAGCCTTAGCAAGAAAAAGAAAAGCAAGACAGAAAGAAAACCGAAAAGGGCAGGAGATAAAGATAGGCGTAGTTACGAACCCCCTTAGTTATGAAACCTGCAAGGTAGTTGCTGATTACTTAGCCGCTCCCGCCTGTTTAAACACTTCGTTAAAACAGGTGTGGACTTATGCACACACCAGGCCGATTTCGGCGCTCAGAAAGTTTTAGTAGTCACCTAACAAGCCTTAGCGAGCAAAGAAAAGAAAAGACAGAAAGAGAAACCGAAGAGGGCAGGAGAGAAAGATAGGTGTAGTTACGAGGCCCACTAGTGACGAGGTCTGTTAGTTACAATACGTGCAGAAGTTAGCGAGCGGGACTTTAGTCTTATACCGCCCGGGTAGCTAGAAGTAGGACAGGAGAAATAGAAGGAAAGGCACCAACACACAAGTGTGTTGAGTGCGATTTCCTTCTATAACCCTAGTTAGTGGGTGGGATAGCAACGAAGGCATTGTCACCTTTGACATTCAAGCCGATTTTGG